TGAACCTTTACGCTCGTGACTTACGAGAAATCGTCGGGGATTACTGTTGTTATATCACTGATGCGATGCTATTGGTGATTGCTGTTTGACATAACGTGCTTGAGAACCTCCAGATTGGCCCTGATCCTTGTGAAAAGGTTAGCAGCGATGCAATCCAGCATGTGGTCATGTGTTGCTCGAGATTGAGAAGGTTGTGCCTTTCGGGTGTCCAGGAATTGATGGCCTCTTCATTGGCACCTTGGCGAGGCACTTTTCCTATGAGAACATTGATGAGATTGCTGGATTGGAGGAGATTGCCCTTCTTGACTGTGAGAACATTGATGAGACAGCCCTTGGCAAGGTGGAATGCCTAAAGTTTTTGTCAGTTGTAGGTTCCCAGAATTTGAAGTGTGCATCAACTGTCACTTATTGGAGCAAGCTACCAAACCTTGTTGGGTTAGATGTTTCTAGGATTGATGTTTGTCCGAGTGTTCTATTTAGAATTCTCTTCTTCTAAGAACTTGAAGGTTTTGTGCGCTCTCAATTGTTTGGCATTAGAAGAGGAAGCCAATCATAGCCCGCTCGACTCTGGCCATGCCAAGGGCAAGATTCTTCTCACCCTCTTCACTGACATTTCCAGGAGGATTACTTTTTTATTCTCTAACTTTGTGGGAAAGGAAACTGAGATCTCTAGGAATTGGAAATCTCAGGAAAACAAGGGCAAGAACCTGAATGACCTCATAAGCTGGGTCGAGTGGATACTGTCACAGTCATTGCTTCGCATAGAATGGATGATTTTTTGTTGAGGCAGGGTGTTGCATTGCTGTTGAGTTTGGTGAATAGTTCTCAGGAGGATGTACAAGAGAGAGCAGCAGTTTGGCTAGCTACATTTGTGGTGATTGATGATGAGAATGCAACATTGGATCCAGTAAGTGCAGAGGCAATCATGAAAAATGGGGGCATTCCGTTGCTTTTAGAACTTGATAGGTCATGCAGGGAAGGTGTATAGTCTGAAGCTGCAAAGGTGACTGCTAACTTGTCAGTTAATGCTAAAGTTGCAAAAGCAGCTGCTGACGAAAGGAGGTATCAATATACTCGCTGCTCTAGCAAGGTTCACAAATAGGCTGATTGCTGCAGAGGCTGCTGGAGGGCTTTGGAATCTTTCAATTGGAGAAGAGCACAAGATTGCCATTACCGAAGCTGGTGGTGTTAAAGCTCAGGTAGATCTCATCTTCAAATGGCTAATTGGGATAGATGGAGTCCTTGAGCATGCTGCTGGTGCACTTGCAAATCTGGCTGCGAATGAAGAGTAGCATGGAGGTAGCAATGGCAGGTGGTGTCCATGCTTTGGTGATGCTTGAAAGACCGCAGGAATTTTTTTTTTTTTGCGTGCATGGTTGGGCTCATTACTTGTTGCTGCTAATCAGTGAAAAAAGTGGTAATCCGCAAACGAGGGTTGGCTTTGCAGTTGATTAAGAGTATTTTGGCAAGACCTAAATCTTGTCTTATTCTAATAAATGGTGATATTAGAAAAGGAGAGCATATTGTCCCTCCTTTTGCAATTGATTTCTTGATGTGGGCTACTTTCTTATCCCCTCTGCTCGAGTGAGGGCTACAAAGAAATTATAAGCACTTTATTCTACCCTGAAGGAGTTAGCACTTGCTGATTTTCCAGAATCCCACCACCTACCTTCATTGCCAGAATTATGAGGAATACATGTTTCCAACAACAAACTTCATTGTCAGAGTTCTAAGGAACACTGGTCTTTCTACCGGCCTTCATTGTCAGAATTCTTAAGAATATTGATCCTTTTGCTTACTTCATGCATCCTAAACCGAAGATAGATCATGCGGGAGGGCTCCTCTCGCGTGGAACATCCATATTCGACCGAGTAGAAGCGAGAGAAGTCGAGCGCAGGACCTCTGGAAAGAGCTGAGAGTTCAAGGACAAGCAAACAGTGCAAGACTCGCACTCCTTCCCTCGATCAGACCAGAGGGATCAGAGGCATTGCATGTGCTTGTATGGGTTCGATTGAACAAGAGTGTTCGGGTGGAGTCTGATGACTGATTTGCATTAGGCTGAAGGCTGACTCGATTGTATGAGAGAAGATTTGTGTGCCAAGTCTAAGCCGCTTTAGATTTGTTGTTTTGCTGTTGTCATTGAAGCTTGCCGCAAACATAAAAACATTTTTTTTTGTCATGCCTTCATTGCCGGTCTTCCCTTGTGGTTACTATCCTATCTATAACCAATGCAGCCTTCATTGCTGCCCCTGCTTAGTATAGCATTCATTGCTACCCTTTACCACTACAATATGTGAAGTTGATTTCTCCCAAAAATTTAACCAAAAGGACTCTATGATGAACTAAGGGGCTTGATAACTCTATTTTTTTGGGATTGATTATCAAGCTAGGAATTACATATATGTATTCCCCAGCTTGAGGGAGAGTGTCAAATACCGCCCCAACCATCCTAGTCGTCCCTTAGCTCTAGATCCTATGGCGAGCATGAGGATCCATGAGAGGCTCACCTGGATGGCTGGATCACGTCAATCTCCTTCCATATTCATGTGTTTAATTTAGGAAGGGTTTTATTAGTGCAACTATACATGATTCCATAATTATTTGTTTCTTTATTAAGATATCTTCTATAGATCTATAAATATGGATAGTTTTGTGTAATAAAATTAAGACTTTTTTCTATCAAAATCTCTTAATTTAACATTGTTAGTGTGTGATATTCACATGGAAAATTATTAATAGGAAAAATTATATTAGGAGAACATCTAATTTGAGATATATTCATTTATATTTCTATAATTATAAATATTCTACTCCTTATTTGTTTCCTTCTGTATTTATCTTGTATGCTTATCCAAAAGCTCTTATATTCAATAAAAAAGATACAAAAAAATTCATCTCCTCAATTTTGTATAGGGCTGCAAACGAACCGAGCCGAGCCGAGTATGTGAGTGTTCATGTTTGTGTTTGTTTAACATTAGCTTGTTCATGTTTGGTTCGTGTTTGATTCGAGCTTTATTATTTGTGTTCATGTTTGGTTCGTTTTAATTTAAGGGTGTTCATGTTTGGTTCATGTTTGTTTGTTTAGTGCTTATCAAGCTTTAAACAAGATATGTTCGTGAACATATTTCGCAAACAATCTATTGAACAAGCGAACCTTAAATTTGTTCATGAACATCCTAAACAAACAATCTAGCAAATATGGACAAATATGAAATATTTCTTGTTATTAATAAAAAATAATTATATTATTAAACTAATGCTCGCATCTTGCTTAGTCTCTCCGCTCACTTGCTTGCATTGCTCTCGCTATCACATTGTGTTGCTCAGTGCGCCATACCATACATTGCTCTTTATTGTCGTGTGTTTGCTTGCACGTATGTGTAGGTCTCACATTTGTGTCTTTTCTTCTTCTCGTATTGCATTTGCAAGTTGTTGCTGCAATCCTTAATCCTCCTCCTCCCTGCTCACCATATGCTCTGATGTAATTGATTGTGCAAATGCCAATCGTATGGATGCTCATTCAATGACTTGCATATTCTTGATGAGTTGTTTAGTTCAATATTAACTTAGGTTTAGTAGGAAGTAGTGATGTCTGAAATGTCCAAATAGTGTTTTTATTCTTAATGGGATAGATTAGCTATTGGGTAGTTAAAGCTGATTTAACCATGTTTCGAGATCAACTCAAAATCATTCAGTCTGATTTATAATTGAGCCCAAACTAGTCAGCCATATATGCTCTTACTTTGACCCAGCCTGTAATATGTCTTATTATCATTTATCAAAGGTTGATCCTTGAACAAAAATTATTTTATTAAATGTTTATAACTCTTTAATGTTTAAATTGTATTGAAAGATATTCAGGAAAAATATATATTTTATTTAGAGTTAGTTAATATTAGTTGATATTTTTAATATGATTTAGAGAATATATTATTATGTAGATAAATATAGATGTCTATACATTAGATACATGAATGCATAAATAATTCAATAGTATGTATGTAAATTTTTTTTGTGTGGAGATTTTGTGATTGGCATGCCCTCCACTCAAAAGAAAAAAAAGTCTATTTTTTTTAATAATGTAAAAAAAAAAAAATAAAACTCTTTACAATGCCTTTTTTTAGCATAATTAGTTGTCTAGCAAATTGTTCCCTTGAAAATCATATTTTAGGCTCAAGCTTATAAATGATAAATCTTTTAGAAGACTTTTATATAAGACTACTTGTGAGCATACAAATTTCTGATTTTGATGGTTTGTACCTAAACACATTTATTGCTGTTCAATCTTCACATTGCCTCATTAATGGTGTATTATGCTTTAGGTAGCAATCATACTCTCAATTAATTAAACCGTAGGTCAGATGTTCAACCTATAAAATTAAACTTAGGTCATAAGTTTTATATATAATTTTCGAGAGGGATATATGGTAAATTCTTATATATTTATATATCTTATACACAAAAATTTTATATTATTTACATACTATTTTAATGTCTAATACACGTAATAAAATATTAAAAAAAGGTGTACATTATTTTAAATGAATTGATAACAGTAATAGTTTTAATGTAATTAAAAATTATAAATATAAATATTAATATTTGAGTACTAATAAAATTTGTTAATCCTCACTTAGTTTTTCCTTCATGGAGCTCCCAAAGCAGCCCCCAATAATAATAGAAAAGAAAGACAGCTCCTAATCCTAAAGGTCGTGGGCTCCTGGCTTGCAACTTACAACTGCAAACCTCTTTTGTGGTGCTTCTACTCTTTTTCTGGCTAGAAAACAAGTGATGTATTTTTTAGTGTCCTCCATGTACACAAATATTTCTTTTTGTTTTAAAATAAAATTACTTTATTGATTCTTAAGAGTGCGTCTGATCGTTCTTTGTTAATATCTGTTTTCACTTATCAGTATATATATATATATTTGTGCATCCAATAAAAAATCAACATGATAATTCATATTATAATAAAAATAAAAAAAAAGGAAGAATAGAATCCTTTAGATGATGAGGAGGCTTTATCAAAGTTATACGAAGGGACCGAACTATAAAACAATGAAGGCTTAAAGAGGGGTAAAAAAGGTCAAATTGGTGGAATTCTGACCTTAAAATTCCACAAACAATTCCTTCACAGCCATACAAACCAAATATGCTTCCTTTCAATCTGACTCCTCCCTTTGAATCTTTCTATCTTCTTCTTTCGATATTTTTGTTTTGGGCTCCTTTTCTTATTCTCAAAGCAAACTGATTTCTTATTCCCATCCGCTTAGAAAATAAGCTAAAGAAAGAATGGTATTGCCCTCTCTGCTTTCCCTAAAATCCTTTCCTGTCTTACTTAGCTTAATCACTAAGTCTTTTAATAAACCGTCGCAATATCATCATCAGCTGTTACAATTAAAACTATCTATCACAGTATATATAATATTAATAATACATGTATAGATAGATATACATAATAAGTGGTGTCAACGGAATGAACATACAAAATTTGACTTGGCCAGTGCAGCATACTTGGAGTGCAAGAGTTCACAAACTTGTATTCTCATAAAGGCTTCAACTTTGGGTACTTCTTTGCTTGAATTTATAAATAGTGAAGAGCGGTGCGGCATTATTCAAAGTTTCAAACTTGTCATATTTGTCTCGTCTCTTTCTCAAATATCTCAAACTTTTATTCTATGCTATAAGAACTCTAATTCATTTCTCCTCCCCCTCCTCCGCGTCATCTGCCGCACATTCTCTCCTATGATCTCATCAATGGAGCAAACAATCCGAGTTCTCTCAGCGGATGAATCTTCTTCAGAGATCACGAACAGAGATATGCTTTCTATCCGAAGTTCAAATCTTTTGAATGGAGGCTTCTCCCCTGATCAATTGGTACGAGCATTCAACAACTTCAAGAAGAGCGGCACCCCTTCCAGGTTCCTTCTCTTCTCTGAAAATGCCTGGGTGGACTTTGCGCATCAAGTGTTCGATGAATTGAAGGCAGGTTTTTTAGCTGGAAAGACAATTTTGGAAGTACTCGTGGATCAAAAGTCCTATCTTTTTGACTTCCTACGGATGATTCGGATTGATTCAAAAACAGGAAGGCAAAATTGGATTGCTTGGATTGATGTCCGCGGCTGTTATTTCTTCCCAAAAAATGCAGCAGCTAATAAGTGCAATTCTTTACAAAAAAAGCTAGAGTTTGATCGGAGAATTAATAAGAACCTCTTGATGTCTTCTCCACAATTCCATCATCCTCTCGTGACAAAAAAAGTCGAATCATATGATGATAACATGGAGGTCACCTCTGACAGATGGCCGGGTGCAAAAATGTTGAGAGATGATGAGAAATTCTACAAAGTAGTTGAAAATTTGTTTATTTCTAGCATAAAAAATTTCATGCCCAACACTGTGATTACTTCTATCAACAGATGCTCTCATTTGAGCCTACCTGGAAATTCTCGTCTTCTATCTTTCAACTTACATAAGAGCATGATGAAGGAATCTCGAGGCAATGCCAATGTCAAGTTTGGATGGTATGGAACATCTACAAGTAATATTGCTGGAATTATAACTTATGGTTTCAGGCAGTCGAATAGCGACAAGTTAGGGGTTTTTGCCCATGGAATTGGCATTCATCTCTCACCACCACATTACCCTTATGGAAGGTAATCACATTTCTCAAAATTTTGCAAATTTGATTGGGATTCTGATTGGAAATATTTGATCTGAAAGATTGAAGCTTGGCTGCAGTGCTATGCTATCAGAAGCTGATGAAGATGGTGAGAGACATGTAATTCTTTGTCGAGTTATTATGGGGAACTCTGAAAAAATTGAAGCAGGCTCTACAAGGGATCATCCTAGTCATGAAAGGTTCGACAGTGGTGTTGATGATATTGAGAATCCGAAGTGGTTTATAGTGTGGAATAGTCACATGAACACACACATCATTCCTGAGTATATTGTGGGCTTCAAGTCTTCATTTCATTCTCAAGGTATGTTGAATGAAGCTTATAGATTGTTTAGAGTTATTTGACTCCAGCTTCTGCTTTGGACATGTGATGTGAAGTATGGTTCTGCTCCTCAATTTAGGGTGGACAAAGCTAGTGGGTGTGCAAAAGTCTGTGATGAATCTTCCATTTTGGAAGCTGTTTGTAGAGATTGAAAAGTCATTGCCTTCCTCCAAAATGCAAGCATTGGAGATCCTTTACAATCGGTACAAGGTAGATTCAATTACTTTTTTTTAATGACTTGTTGTCAAAAGCCCTTTTCTTATTTATTTTACTTTTATTTAAGTTCTTCTCTTACAACTAATTCTTATTAAAGGCTATTTGCTCAAAACACAAATTGAAGAAAATTGAGTTTTTTTCGCATTATTTTGGTGTGCTTTCAGGTGGGGAAGATTAGCAAAGAAATCTTCATCAAATACATGAGGTCCATTGCGGGGGATAAGCTACTGATCTCCACGATTAAAAGTTTGAAGGGTTAGATAAAACATGTAAATACGCTCTTGCTTTTGGGGCTATTGAAACTTTTGTGTTATGAAATTTCTTGAGACGCTAGATACGATTAGAATGAAAATAGTTGTAGTTCATATGATATGTGAACTATCATGTGGAACAAATTTCCACCCTCTAAAGAAATTTTCAACTCTTCTAAAACATTTGTGAAATCATTTAATATATGAGTGGTTGCTGCTTTCTTACAAGGATGGAGATCAAAGCATGACTGAACAATTCTTGAAAATCTTTATGAACAACCTCTTACCACTTTTATGGGTTTGGGTTTAGATATGATGCTATACAAAAGACTACTACAACTAACATTAAGTAACAAGGCTTAACAAATGCATCTATAAATGAGTAAGTCTAACTAGCTTGTAGCTTGATATACACAAAGCTAATATTTGTCAAATTCTAAGTAAATGATGAGTTCAAGTGACGCCAGTCACTTGGAAATTAAGAGTTCAAAGGAAATCTTTGGTAGCTTCTTTTTTATTCTAACAAATAACTTTAGAGCTTGGCGATTCATTTGGTGAGATGGGATAGTAGTCTCGGAAGCTTGAATTTATCTCTAGGCACAAATAATGTTGGCTGAATGCAACGGGGATGTGTTGAGTATTGGGCTGGAAAATTTGTAGCGGCACAGAGATCGAGTTTGTATCCTAATTTTGCATGAACCATATAAACAAATAAATGAAATAACTCAAATAATATCAAAGATTTTTTTCATAGAAAATAAAGAAAAATCACGAGGCCTTACCTAGCCGAAATGAATCCAACATGTGTGCATTAATTACAAAGATTTATGAGTCCTTTAACTTGGAGATGACAAGATTACAAGAGTTCGGATAAATGGAAGAAAGTGTGGTAGGGTTTGTTTAGACATTTGGGGTGGTTGGGCCACAAAGGTCCGATGACGGGCATTCATTAATAAAAGGTCAGACAGTGATGGTTGGGAGTGGAGGTCTGATGACGGTGGTCAGGAGATGGTGATGTGAAACGTACATGCGATGGAGGAGTTACTTTAAGAAATTAACGAGAACAATTTAAACAAATAATCCCAAAGTAAAATTATCATTTATAGCGAAGATTGATCTTTGGAATTCGTGGTATTTAACTTGGTTAGGCAAAGTAGAGCAAGATCAATCAACCAAACAATTCAAGAAACACAAAGATAATTGTAAAAACTACGATAGTCACAAGAGTCCACGATTTAATAAAGAATACTTTCACCTTTGTAGTCCATACGCTCAACTAATCTAGGCTTTAGCGGAAGAAGAGTCTCCACCTTAGAATCGAGGTCGCTCCGAGGAAGAAGGAACCTTGGATCTTCGTTCTTGGATAGGTTGTCGGGGCTGGGATCTCAGGGAAAGAGGCCTCCAACTTCTGGACAGCAACTAGAGATGTGTGACCAGCAACAAATGTTTGGTACGTTTAAATGCTTCAAATCGCCTATGGTGAATTTTAAGTAGGTAATTAAATTAAACCTGAATTTTATTTCAGATTTAATTAGGTATTGAGTAACTTCCCAAGTGGATTTGAGATGAGAGGGAAAGTTGAATTCGAATTTCAAAATGGCTCTAAATGTCATTAATTACCTTGCCTTAAGGTGAGCCCTTGATTAAGCAATTAATTACGTCACCTGGGACTTGGAATTCACGGCTTGGGCACACAAGGAGGTTCAGCGGCAGGGGAAAACTGCAAGGGGACGGTGGGCTGGAGGTTCACGGGAGGCTGTTTTACCGTGAGATTGGGAGCCGTAAGGGTGGGGTGGGGTTGGCTGCACGGGAGGGGATGGCTGTGGCCGGTGGGATGAAACCACGGGCTGGCTGGCAGGGGTTGAACGGCAGCTGGTCGGCCTGTGGCAGGCGGGGATGATTTGGCTTGCGTGAAATCCAAAACAGAGAAAGAACTCTGTTGCTTAGGGGGATTCAAACAGAGAAGAATCTCTGTTGCTTGCGTTAACAGACTGTAGATGAGGAATTCTGAAAGAAAGTAGTAGAACGAAAAAAAAAAAACACAAGACCTAGAACTCACAAAGAGATCTAGTCTTCTCCGGCGAACTCACTAAGAGATCGAGGAGGGTGAAGAACTCACCAAGATATCTTCTTGAAGGGGGGAACTCACAAAGAGAACACAAAATATTTTCATTTCATCCAATCCTCCAATTACAATGCATGAGGCCTCATATAAATAGGCCAAAATGAAAAAATAAGAAATGACACAAATGCCCTTCAGGGCTACATAAGCGACTAAATGCCCATAAGGGCAAAAGCGGAAAAACATCAAAATAAAATACGCTACTACATAAAATGACAAAATACAAGTCATGCTCGTGGCCGTCGATCTCCGGCGTCGAAAATGCTGACGATGTCCTCATCAGATGGTGATTTGATCAAGGTGATCGAGCTGCAAAAGGTCTGACAACGATAGTAGGATGGCAAAAAGTTCGATGGTGGTGGTCGAGCATCAAAGGTTCGACGGTGGCTATTGGTTGACATATGGGTGAGACAATAGTGGACGGGTAGCAAAGGTGCAACGACAATGGTTGTGAGGCAACAAGTTTGATGGTGGTGATTGGGGGACAAAAGATTCAACGGTAATTACCGACCCAGCGTGTAGGTCTGATTAATGAGATGGTCGGCTGGCTAGAGTTCACTGGCGGTTGTGCTGGGATAAAACTCTGGGATCTTCAAGCCTTTAAACTCTTCTGAATCTTTAGCAAAGGGCCTCCATCATGTAAAGTGCAAGAATCAATTTGTAGATTTTTGGGAGTGACATATCATATAAATATGAAGAAAATCGAGACCATTTGAATGCATTGACTTATATTGATGATTTTATAGAAGCTTTGATAGAAAATTAAAATATAAAATAAATCATTCTTCCAATTTAGATCTTGGGGCATTATAGTTTTAAAGAAGAGGCAAGAAAGTGAGAAGGATCTTCAGTTACTAGAAAATGGCTTTGCAGTCTTCTCCTCAAGAGAATATCTTTGCATTTCTAAAAATTTTGAAGAAATGGGAGCATCTCTCTCCAAGTCGAGAGATGAAACAGTTGAGTCCTGCAATCAACCCGGCGAGTCGCTAGACTTCCTTAGCAGTTTTGAGTGTCTTCATCTCTAGTATAGCTTGTACCTTATTGGGGTTAACTCTTATTCCATCGGGTGCGAGAAGGAACCCTAGGAATTTCCTTGCGCCTACTCTGAAGGTGCACTTCAAAGGATTCAACCTCATGTTGTATTTCTTGAGAGTAAGTAATGTCTCTTGGAGATCTTTGATGTGTTGGTTGGGAGATCGGCTCTTGACCAGGAGATCATTTACATAGAGTTTGATATTTCTTCCCTTTTTTTTTTCTTGAAGTTTTTTTTCCAACATCCTTTGATAAATTTCTTAGGCATTTTTTATCCTGAGACTTTGTAGCAATATAGACCTACTGTGATGAATGTAATTTTTTCGCAGTTTTTAGGGTGTATCTTGATTTGGTGGTAACGTACAAAGGCGTCCAAGAAGCTCAATAGAGGATAGCCAATGACAGGGTCTACTAAAGCGTCGATCCTCAAGAGTGGGTAGTTGTCTTTGTGGCATACTGAGTTTAGAGTGGTGAAGTATACACACATTCTCTATTTGTTCATCACCTTTTATACCATCACCATGTTGAAAATCTAATACATATATTAGATTTCTCTGATGAAGTCGCAAGTGAGTAGCTTTTCTACTTCTTCTTGGATGGGTTCGACGAGTAAGGCTGCAATTTTTTTGATCTTCTATTTGATGGGATGAGAGTCTCCTTTTATATTTAGCAGATGGCATATGACTTCTTCGTTGGTGCTTGACATGTCTGTTGTCGTCCATACATATACTTCAAGATTATTACGAATTAACTCATCTCAATATTCCCTGCTAAAGGAAGTGCTGATTTGAGGACCCTATCCAGTTCATCTTTTGTTGTGGGTACTTCTTCAATGGCCTTGATTGTCTCTAAGCTTAGAATTCATTCCACGTCCGGATGGTAGATTTCCTTAGAAGTGTTTGCTAGACCTCCTACTTGTAGGTAGCCGGTACGCAACTGGCTAGGTTACCCTTCACCATGACTTCTCTTCCTTCGGGAGAAAATTTAACTACGAGATTGTATATGGATATCACAAGTCTGAAAGTATGAAGCAATGGCCTATCGAGTACGGGGTTGTAGGTTATCAAGGCATTGATAATGATGAACTTCACTATATTCGTGTATTGACGATTTCCTTCGCCACAAGTAACAGTTAATGTAATTGCTCGTTCGATTTCTCTGTGCTCGCTATAGAATCCATAGAGAGGTGGCAATTGGAATGGACTAGGAGGCGAGCATATTCATCCTGTCAAAGATTATTTTAAATATTATATTCAGTGAGCACCCCATATTTATCAGAATGTTACCAATCTTATAATTGGCAATTAGGGTCAAGATGATTATTGGTTCGTTGTGTGGGTTTCCTCGAGTTGGTTCATCTTTGCCATTTAAAGTGATTGTGCATCGTCAATGGATCATGATAATGATGTTGAATTGACTTCTTTAGTTTGTGACTTCTTTGCATGTGTGGGGGTGTCCCCTCGTTCACCACCCATGTTGGCGGGCACTACTACAATGATGTGGATTACTTAAGCTAGCTTGGGCTTGTTGGGGCTTTCTTCTATTGGGGCTTTCCCTGGTCATCACTCTGGATCAGCGAGAATGAACTCTTTAATCTTCCCAGCTTTGCTGAGGCCTTCAATTAGGCTCTGCATGTGGTGGCATTCTTCGATGCATTGTCCATGGTCTTTGTGGAATGCGTTGTATCTCGAGCATTATCAATCTTCATAGGGGGCAGGCGCCTAAAGAATTCTTTATTCTGTATGACCTCTAAAAGCTAGACCATGGATACTCTTAGCGTAGTATAGGTTAGATATATTTGGGATTGGTGAGCAACCTTTCTGTGTATCTCCTAAATCTTTGGAGTTGGTGGTGCTTATATTCTCAAGGTCTTGGGTGAATGGGCTTCCCATATTGATTGGGGCACTGATGGTTGTGTTAGAAATTTGATCTTTGATTTCTTCTTTCTTATGGATGGATTCTTTCTCTATCTCTTCTTGGATGAAAGTTTCTTCTCTTGACAATCTCATGATATGGAGCAGTTATGATGGGTTTGGCCACTCAGTTGTATTCTTCAGCATTGACATAATTGTGGGCAACTTCCAACAATTTGCCAGTGTCTTTGACTGTTAGATAGAGTATCTAAAGGGACTTTTCCTGATCCCTTGGGTGACTACAGGCCTTAATTCTTTTACGTTGAGCATTTCCTTCTAGAACCTCAATATGAAGTCAGGATTCATCATGTTCACTGAGGCCTGCAATTGCTTTATACGTAACATTTTTCTGGCTGTTGGCATCAAATCCCATGCTTGTTGCATCTAAGAGGATATTGATCCCATTTTTTGTTCATTGAATGATGCATGACCATACTTTATGGATCTATCTATGAACTGAGAGCCTATAAGTGAGGATGATGAACATAGATAAAGAGAGGGAGAGAGAGAGAGAGACGAGAGTAAGAGAATGGAAGATGGATTTATATAGAATCTTTATTATCTCAACAATAAATACAAGAATGAGTGGAGCGATGATTTTATCATGCAGAGCTCAAGCTAGAAAAGAAAAAAATTGATAAAATATCTCTCTATGTATCCCTATTTTGATGTGTTTCTTTCTTCTATTCCTCTATCCCCTCCCCCTATTTATAGGTCTTTGAGAGTTACAGTAGAATATGTACGGAATACATGAGTTGTACTATTAGTTTTTGATATAGCTCGGCCAATTGTGTTGATTTTATGAGAGATGATGCGGGGTAGTGTGAACTCGTACAAATCTGGAGATCTAGCCAGTGTTATGTAGGAATTATGTCACCCTGTAGGAGCAAAGAGGGGTGAGTAAGGACTTTATGTAGATCTTTGAGATCAATGATGATTCAATTATGAAGGATGTCTTGTGGAATGAGATGTGTTCCGTTAGTTTAACTTCTGATAGGTCTTGTATAGAAGATTTGACTTTGACCGAGATGAACACAAACTTATCTGAATAAGAGGGAAACTTCTGTGATCGTCCTCATTAGGGAGGGTGACTGCTTGGAGGATGTGGCCGAAGATGGTCCGTCGTGCTCCAGTGATAAGTTCCTTCCTAACTCTTAAGCGAGTCCCTCGAATGGTCTATTCTGGAAGAAGAGATAATTCTCCTTCCACGTGACTTGAACGCAAACTGTAAGATACATGCGACTATGCGAGAGAATACACGCACAATCAATCATGAGTGCACATGTAGGAATTCCAAGATTGATCTTGCTTCCATCATTTGAAACTTCCAAGCTCAGCATTCTTGTTCTCACCTATTAAATTTTGAAAACTCAGTTTATTACAATTAGTCAAATCAAACCAACTCAGCTTAGATGTTTCATTTATAGCTTGTTTAATGGGTGTATCCTCGTGCAGTTTTGGCGCATGTCTTTGGAGATGGCCTGCCTTCTTTTTAATTATTCAAGTTGACAAAGTTTATGTAAGACCTAGCCTATGATGTCTTCTCCTATGAAATCCTCATCTAATGATAGTGTTATCCCCCTCTATAAGATAATTCTCATCGAATTTTCACCCCGCGTCACTCCCAGTGGACGGAACATGAGGAGAAATGACCTTTTTGATCTGAGCCTACTCTGGCATTTGGTTGTTTTTTACATTTTTCTCTCTCTTTTTTATCTTGATTTTGATCTTTTGTATTGAGCTACTGGCTCATTTGTCAGTCAGCTCCTGTCTTGTACAGGATTTCTTTTAAAATCTTGGGTTAAGGCTCTGAAATTTCTAAACACATTTTCCTCACATGTCAAATTCTTTTAACAAATTGAAATAATGGTGCATTAGCTTTGGATAAATTGAATAACATGACCATGCCACGTTAACATAGATAATAATCTTACGAGTCTATTTGGCAAGACCAATAAATTTGTCACCATTTTTTGAAAGAATTAACCATACGTTTACAAGGAGAAGAACAATACTCTTACGATATTTTATATATGAGTATTTTCATATATCAATGACCAATTTGCACCTACATAAAATTTGATCCATATGATTTTTTACATTCATTGAATTTACTTTTAACATTGGTTAATTAAATAATTATAAATTACTCTCATCTTAAAATAAACAATTAAAAAAAAACCATTTTAATCAAATTTGTACCTGAGGATTCTTTTACAAAAAAAATTTCCCATGACTATCAACCTCAAGATTCAAGCGTCTTTAATCTGATGATCAAAGTAAATATATCAACTTAATGCAAAATAGAACAAATTGGTATATAAGCAAAATTCGTATGGCTATTTTAATTGAGAAAAAAAAAAAATGTTCACGCTATTTCATACAGCAAAGTAAATATAGCCGCTCATTTATTATCGTCAAACAACAGCTACCGTATTTTTTTTACCTCAGTTCAAGCGTTCAGTCAAACAACAAAAAAGATAAAACACCATAGGATGCCTGGTAAAATCTGCAATAATGCAGTGTGCACTCTTGCTACGCAGAAAAAAAAATATATAAATACCGAAACCGTTAGATTTTAGTTTGTGCAGGAAGCAGCAGCACTATAACGTCAGAAAAGCAAATATTTTTATTTGACCACTTTGCGGTGCTAAGACAATGATAGATCCAAAACAGTCCATGGTGGATAACACATAAAAATTTACCAAACAGTGCGTCAACCTTTCAGAACTTCTGCATGTTAATGATCATGATTCTTCACCTCAAAGAGCCCATCGGGACCTAGAAATCACACAGCAGTAAATGTGTTAAGCTTGAGTGAATTGCAAGCAAAGAGGAAAGCTCCTAAACCCTAAACAACAAACGATATCATTCAAAATTGCAAAGTTTATCATCAGGCTTAAATCATTGTTTTTGACGCTTGTACGGTTGACCAAAGTAATGCCAGCAAATTCCACTTTCAAACCATCGTAAGGTTTATTCCTATTATCATTTTCATGGATTTTGATTGTGGTGGATCTGTGTCAACGAAGGATCAAAGCTCTACTTGTTTGATGTGCAAAGAGCAAATATAATTGGCTGGGGATAGAACAAGCCTGAAGTTTTCAAGCGGCTATCTCTGCATCCATGACATTTATTTACTCAAAACATGCATGCTCTAACTCCACTTGCACTAACTCGGTGTATATTTCCAGGCATTGAACTTCTTTAGTCGGATCAGCAGCAAAAACCTTTCCTTATCCAAATAGAAATTAAGAGGAAATTGCGCTTCTTGGTGTGTTTCAGATATAATGCTAACTACATTGTTCCAATTGAACTCAGAAGCAAGAAATGTAACACAGGACAAAAATGTTGCATTCGAAAGCTCTATTCAATGAGCTAAGTGAACCAAAAGCCCCAATGACTGACAACGAGCTTGTTAATTAATTGCCCACATTAGCGAAAACAAAAAGGCTCTTTGGTAACTTTGGAACGTTTACCAGATCTTATTTGACAGCTGTTTGGTCGCAAGAATTTAAAAATTTAAGTATTTGAATGCAATGCATTTGAGTTTCAATGTACTTGAAATTCATGAGATTTTTTTTGGAAAACTTAGAACTAATAAAAATAAGCTAAAGCTAAAAAAAACCTTTGGCAAATTCAAGCATCAAGGCCCACAAAGAGGTTGCATATCAAGGCCGATAGTGAGCTCCATGAGGTGTCAAACATCAAAGTTGCTTGATGTCATCAAAGATGGTAAGGTTCACCATGAGGTCGGGCGGTACGGGAGGTATCCAAGGTCACGATCGCCTAGTGCGGAAGGTTGATCAATGTAAGTGAAGACAGCAACAAGGTCACGTAAGACTATTTATCTCAAAATTGTCTAAATCGACCAAATTCAAAATACATTGAAAATAACCTCATGGGGTATTAAAAAATCCTCAAACTTTTACTTTGCATTTCTTCTTCACTTCAAACAAAATACCTAAACATTAAAATCCCTGCATTTCATTTATTTAACATTAAAATACTTCCAAACAAATAATCCCTAATAATAATGCTAAGCAACTTAAAATGTTGTAAGTTCAATTATCACATGGTTACTTGGGTTTGTCTGCAATTTTATCTATGATTAAAACTCACAAGCTCAGCATCACAATAGATGAAACAAGCCATTACTATTATCCTCCTTCCAAAGTTCTAACTGAACAAATGGGTTGTAGGTGACGTGAGGGGATCCTTGTAGCCACATTTCTAGACCGTTGTAAACGTGTATGAAACCTCTCATAAAACTATAGATGCGATAGATTTGTCCTTACAGGAAGGTTGGGGAAAATTTTTCTATGCCTTCTTTTTGGTGTTGGAATTGTTAAGGAAGAGTGGTGCAGCGATAGGAAGAATTGCAAACAGAAACTCCATCCATCATAAAAAAAGGTTATTTAAAGAATATTGCGACTCTGTGACAAAAAAATTCCTCTTACGAAAACTGGAATACAACTTTAATCACGATGCTATGTTGGAAACTAAAGTCCATCCCATTGGAAGCCAGCAAGAAACTTATTATTATTATTATTTTTTTTTGGTTTGTTAGTGAGCATTGTATGGGAGTTTCTATGCTGGATAAACAAGTTCGTGAGGCTGATTGACAAAAAGACTTGGAGATTTTGGTCAATAGACCCAGTACGGTTGGGTGGTAAGTTGCTGAGGCGATCAAAATGTGAACATCTAGATGAAAATGAGCAGGGCATCATCCGGTGGCACATGCAGAATGCAGCTCTATTCCATCCAACAACATTAGACAACTAGACTTCTTGGCTTCTGGTCTAAACATCTAGTAGTCATGTTGTATGTTCATGATTTGGTATGAAAAGCTTAGGATTACAGTAGGATCTGATAAACACTGCATAATAATAAGTGCTTGAGCATCACAAATCCATTTCAAGCCTATCTAATAGACCATCTAACCAAGCCCTTCTCTTTCCTTATTATCTTCCAAATTCTTCCCTGCTCCCTAACCCTAGCTTCCTTGTCCTCGTTGCCTACATATATTTCTCTCCTCCTCCTCCACCCTTAACTTTCTCCTCTCCTTCTATCCTCTCATACCCCTTCCCTCCTCTCGCTCATGATTGCATGATAAATTAATGATAAGGTTTCTTTTGTTATATTATTACTTTGATATACTTACTATCATTTTGTCATAAATTGATGTAGCTTTGCCATTGTTGAAATTCATTTTGTAGCTATAGGTTTTTTAGGAGAATATATTCTTTTATTTAAAAGCAATAATTTGCCTTGCATAAATTTTTTAAATGATAGAATCTTATCCCAAATATGTTAATTGAAAGTAGGACAGAAGGGCAGTCACACACATATTGGCAAAATTTTAATTAAGAATAAGGATAGCACACAGAAAATAGTGTCTAACACCTAGCTTTAGATGATTTTGGCTTAGATCTACAAAAATAAATGTTGAAGATAAATGTATTGAAGATTAGGTTTGGCATCGAGGGAGTTATAGCTATAACTTGAAATCAAAATTAAATGAGTTGACGCTGATTTAAATTTAGCTATAAATTTTAATTTGAGTCGAGTTGGTTCAATTAAGGCTGATTATTTATTCACTCCCATTGGAGATAGTCGCTCATTAGTGATTCTCCTCTTCATTCTCGCATGCTAATTTTCATATGCACTTCTCTATGGTTCTCATAGTTTATCACTTGCAAGCTTTGTTTTGAGAATGCTTCTTGGTGCACCCTTCTCGCAATTCTCATTGCCTCACCTTCATACTCTCTCCCGCTTCACATTGGCACATGCTCTTCTTGCTCATAGGCTTCTTGTTGAGAATGCCTCTTAGTGTAACCTTAGCATTCTTCTCAACGCCTCATGTATGTGCTGCCTTCATTTCTCAATATCTAGCTAGTCTCTTTATCTTACAAGTATCTAGAGTTTTAATTATTTTTTCATCATTTTATTATTTATATCTACAATTCTTTTATATTAAACTTTTGGAAAGTTGATTTTTTTAAAAGTATAATTATATTTATTGAAAAATTATTACATGATATAACTATATGTATATAAGATAAACAACCATGAGTACTGTAGCTAGTAAAAGTACCACTTTGTTTTGCACTTTGTGCACTTAAGTGAAAAGGAACTCCTGCACATCACGTGCATTAAGCACTTTGAAATCATTGCTTCCAATACTATGCCCTTGTTAGAAAAACATCTCCTTAGACTTCCTTGGAGGTTTGTCCCAGACCAATAGAGGCTACAATTACCTATCTATTATTATTGGTAGGATGTAAGACAGCATGGATAATGTGAAGTAAAACCATTTCATCCTCAAGCCTTCATTCATGAATTATCAAAAAAAGATTTAAAAGATATCCTAGGAAAATTTAGAAAACTCAATGAAGTTTAATAGAGGACAAATTGGATGACATCATAGCTTTCCATCCACATACGGATGTCCAAAGTCCAAACTGACATGGTCAATAAAAACATGATATATATGATGGAAGCAAACAATGAGCATCTAAATATGTATACGATGATAGCATTCCATATATCTAATTTGCATACAATAAAAGGATTCATGAATCAATTTCATAATCATCATTTGCCATTAGTCTTAGATTCTTACCTATACTTTGATCTTGAAGTCTCTATTAATATAATTGAAATTAGGACTAAAGAAGAATGTGAGATGAACACATTGTGTTTCCTAGAGAGCGTCAATAAGAACCAAGAGGTGGAAGAATTCTTCAAGAAATTCAATATAAATGGAACTTTCAGCATAATAAACATAGCTCGTGGGAATGATAAGTGGGAAACTTGGTAATGAATATACAAGAAAGGGGAGGCTCATAGAAAATGGCAAGACAAATATGTGAACCAAATATAACACATTCAAAATCATCATGAAGATTTGAAATGTCATTTTTCAATTACATATTTTTTTATTGCAAATCTATTATGCACTCGATGTCGAAAATCATAAGTTGTTTGAATGTTCTTTAATAGATGATGAGGAGATTAAAGAGAGTTGGCTTCTATTTTATAAGATATAAATGCATCACAAAAACATCATTCTATAAGAAATATAAGCAAAGAATAAATAAATAAAAGTTTTCAAAGTTTCAACAAAGGCCTGAACATCATGCAAAACAAGTTGTACAACTAGTAGGTCGGAGTGATAAACTTTTGAACTTTTTTGCATCTCCAATTCAAATTTCCTTGCGAAAAAAATTTAAGTGACCCATAACTTAAGATGCTTCAAAATGGCTAGTTTCAAACCAAGCTTGCATAACCAACTTTCATGGGTAAACATGAGGTGCTTCGAGGATGTTAAATAGTAAGTTACAAGCACAAAAAGGAGGGGAATTTATCTCCATCTCATCCACACATCCAAAAGGAGGTCTTGGACTTAGAGATAAGCAAGGATTTTTAACTTGTTCTCAACCTTTTAAAATATATGGAGTGCATTACCTAATTGGATCTTTTTTTCTATTTAAGTTTTATATGATCTTGTAATTTCTACAAATAGGTTTATATAACCTAGAGATGCATTGGACTTGAATAAAAACTATATTTTCTTCTTCAAGCTCTATCTCTCTCTCTCTCCCCCTCTCCCTCTCCCTCTCCCTAGTGGTTGCTACCTCACCCTCTCTATGCTTGTTTCTCTCTCTAACAAGGAAGAAAAGAAAGAAGTTCCAAGTGAAGAAAAAGTAGAAGAGAGCCATCTCAACTCATCATGCACATTGATTTATTTACTAATGGACCAAGCATTCCTTAACACAAGCATATCCTTCCATCATCTCCATCCTCTTTTAGCTAACTTCTTGCAAGTATTCATCCTCTCCTGGTTGAAATTTCTAAGGTATTCTATCTAAAAGAGCCTACTTCATTGGGCACTCTGTGCATCCACCAAAACCTCCACTTAAAGTGTACAATCCATAAACTCTTGCGCCGCTACTAGATAACTGCATTCTTATCAAGGATCGCATGAATGACTCCCATTGTAAAATGCCTTTATTAATAGTTGTACCGCATAGAGAACCAGGTTACATTCCAAAAGAGTTTTTTTTAACTACTTTCTAAAAAACATTCTAGAAGTAATTTTCAGAATCTTTTATGAAGCACATAAAATGTGGGATGACAAAATATTATTGTTTTTCATAAAGTGATGACAGCAGTTGGCTGATTTGATCTTGCTGTTCTTTTGTGGAGCTAAATTGTATTTGAGGAACCCTAAGAGGCTGTTTGGTATCGGATTTGCGCCTGGATTTAAGAAGGATTTAAGATAAATCCAGCCAAATAGTTTTCGGTGGTCTTCTAAATCTGAAGCACGCATAAATCCGGGATTTACGGATTTATGGCGTAAATCCGCTAAAATATAAATCCCATCGAGAGGCGGATTTACGGACTCGGGTTTAGCGGGAAGAAGCGAGCAAAAGGGGAGAAATGTCTTTACCTTCGCATCCCTATTTGTGGTCGCCTCGCTCAACCGGCCATTTTCCTACACAGGCTACGCTTCTTTGGTTGCAGTCTTGCGAGCAAGCGTTAGAAGAAATGACGACGAGGAAAAACAACAGTAACGAAGAAATGGAGAAGATGAAAAGAAAATCCTACACGGTTTAATAATAATTAGTAGAATAATTAATAAAAATAAATAAATACAACATTTTATTAATATATTTTAAAATACAAATTATTATTATATAATTAACATTATAACTAATTAATTTTCCAAATTGATTTTGAGAAACATTAGTATCACGCCGCAACCTATGCTCCAAAACTCGCTCCCATAGTTTTAATAGTATAATTAATAATTAAAACTAATTAAAAACTACTTAAAAATTTTCTTAGATCGTTAGCAGGAGAATAGTTAAATAATTAGCTATTTCAACTATTTATCTTCAGTACTTTACAACTACTTTAATTATGAAATTATGTCAAACTATTTGCGTGAAGTGTACCCGGATGTATTATGTGATATGATTAATTTGCATCTACAAGTTATTGAGGCCATCATTAGTTTCTTCATATTTAAATTTCTAACTGTCTTAAATCCAAAGATTTGTTACCAAACAATTTCTCATGATTTAACATTTATCATACCAAAAAGTTTTCAAGATTTAACAGCCTAAGGATTTACTAAATCCTACTAAAGTTAAATCCAATCCAATACCAAAACAGCCCCTAAGAAATGCAAGACTCCATTGTTTTTTAGGGCAATTTTCAAAGTAGTCAGGTAGACAATGGACGAAGATGTAGCCCATAAAAGTGGAGTTTTAACAATCGATTCGCTAAGAACACACCACATGACATTATGCTGCATGAAATCAACCTGTGAACTAATCACTTAATCGAAATTACTTTATTCTACTAAAAAGAAGGCGTCAGTTAACCCTTGAAACCCGAGGAAAAGAAGAAAACCTCAAATTCCTCAAAGTTGAAGGGTTACAGAAGTTTTACCCCAGGGGAACTCTTTGTTACGGATGTGCAGATAGGGGTACGCCTGCAGACGAAAGAAAATAAAAAAAGTTTCAATTAATACCAATACTAATCTCAGCAGTCTCAATAAATATTCATAATCTATAAATGTTAACTAAAGCCAAGCCATGAGATCGAGGGTAATTACCGGGGGTTCAGGGGGGTGTTCGTGACCACTAGAGAGATGATAGATCGAAAGGATCGTGCAGGTAGCGATTCCGAGGTAAGTTATCTTCTCCCACTTCGCCGTCTCGTCTGGACAAATGAAAAGATGTTAACGAAACCCTAAAAAAATCGGGAAAACAAAAAGCCAAAACCCTAATTCTGAACGCAAATGGAAGAGACAAAAATTATACTCGAAGATGGATGGCAAGAAAATAAATGGAAGCGAGAGATGAAAAGGAGGAAAAAAAAAAACTGATATCATAGGATAATACATTCATCATCATGGGCGGAGGAGGCGAAACGCCTCGTGTTCAACGCAAGGGGTTTGCCGGCGGCACCGTTCACCGGACGGAGAAGAAGAGCACAGGCAGATCGCAAGCCGGATCTCATCATCGACATCGGAAAGATTGAGTTTACCGTCCTCTCGTTCCTGCTCTCTCCTCGCTGACGAGATTGACCAGAAGTTTGCTTCGAGAAATTTTAAAGCAAGGTGTTCTAACTCGGGAGCTGACTCGGTTTCCAACTCGCCATGTTTACGGCCTAGCTCACTAGATTAGATTAAAAAATGAAATGATTGAATATTTGCTATAGACACCGCTCTCCTTAGCCTGTTGATTGAGAGCTACGGCTTTCAACTAAGATGTCTAGGATTCGAGTCTATGTGTATGCGCTGTGTGTTGTCTATAAATTTGCTATAGATTTGTAACAACGAAAGTTCGGTCTAAACCTTATCTATTTACTTGCTTGTAACTTCTATTTAAGGAATTAAGGGAGAACATGATAGGATCTTCAAAGATTTTTTTTTTAATATCTTATAGGAAATTTTGGCCTAGGTGAAAATGATTATTGTTTATAAGCTCCCCATATAAAAAATTAAATCAGATGATTTTTACAACTTAAAAGGCTTTGTGCAACAAGAATGGTTTGCTTATTAAGATTCGATCTCCCCAGCAATTAAGCATCCTTTTACTCATGTTTACTTGCCACTTATAGCACACTATATAATGTTTGATTTTAGAGTAGCTCGAATTCTTTCATGGGGAATTACAAAGAGATACTCACATGTTACAGCCGCCTGGATATGGCCTCAAAAGACTTAGTTTGTAGATTGGGTGTGAAACTCTTTAAATAAAAAAAATTAAACTCTTAAACATCGAAGCACCTTTTGGAGTAATAGTTGAAATTGCATTAATAAACTCAACAATTAAGTGTGCTCATCTCAGAGAAATCCTGTGATGGGTGACATCCTGGGAAGTTACAAGCATGAAGTTTGTCCCTAAACCTTAACCAGCCCAAACTCTTAACTATCAATATATTATCTCCTTTGGACTAAGGGCTTCACGATTTTGTCATGTTTGTGTATCTTCCCAAGAGGTCACCAATTCTAAGATTTATTTAGGATGAGCACGTTTAACTATGAAACTTTTTAATAAAAATAGATCCCAACACAAGTTATTCTCTTCTTTCTACTTAATTCTTCATTGAAACATTTTATGTTGTTTTTAAAACATTAACTTCCAAACAGGGTTTTCAGTCATTTCATTCGGAGATTGGAATGCCTCGGAAATCAGAGTTAGAATTATATTTGGATGAGCCTAATCTAGATGCGGAGATTGATTTAGATATTTTGCAATTCTGGAAGGGCAATCAATATAGGTTTCCTGCTATATCTGCTATGGCTCGTGATGTTTTGTGCATTCCTATAAGTACAGTGGCTTCAGAAAGTAGTTTCAATTATAGTGGTAGAATACTAGATCAATATCGAAGTTCTCTTAAGCATGACATTGTTGAGGCACTTGTATGTTCAAAGGATTGGTTGTATGCGGAACAGGGTGCTTTATTCTTCAACCCTCTTAATTTCTTTTCAGCTTACGGTTTCTGTTTTAGTAATTTTACTTTCTATAGCTCATATTCATATTTTTTTATTGCAGTAGTTCATGACACAGAAATAGATGCAGTTACGGATGATATCCTTGATTTACATGTCACCCAAACTGATGCAGAAATGACTGAAAGTTCAGTTATTCGATGAATCTATTTAAACATTTTAATTATATCCAGTATTCCACTTAACTGTTAAACTGTTAATGAGTTAATCTGTTCTGCTGCTTGTAAAATTTGTTTTATGCACTGGTTCTGTTACTTCTGTATTTCTGTGGTTGTTCTGTTCTGTGGTTGTTCTGTAATTCTGTTCATTTGTGGACTTTGGACTGTGGTTCACCGTTCACTGGTTCTGTATTTCTGTCATTCTGTTGTTGTTCTGTTCATTTGTGGTTCACTCACTTCACTGGTTCACTGGTTATGTATTTCTGTGTTATTAACTTATTATGCTGCTGCCGTTTATTTGCTTTCTCGGGCCTGAGGACTGAGGGCCTGAAGCTGCTTCTGTTAAGTTCAAAATTTTGTTTAGTTCAAAATGCTGTAAGTCTGTATTCTGTAAGACTGTAACCCGTTGCATTTGGCTGAGGGACTTTGCAAGCTTTGTGTAGGCATTTGGTTCAGTTCTCGGGTTTGAGGGCTGAGGAGTGAGGAGTGAGGGCTGAGGGCTGACTGGCTGAGGCTTTGTGTGGGCATTATGGCTGCGGGTTATTATGCTGCTTCTGTGCTTCAGTAGTTCAGTGCTTCTGTTTGGATTATCCGATTATGGAAGTTGAAAAATGAAAATTGCAATGAAGCGATGATGAATAACCTTCTAAGATGTAAGTGGGAATCTTATAAGTGCAAGTTCTAATCATCTTATGTCCTATTATAATTTACAACCAAGTGACAATTTTTATTAGCTTAGAGTAACAGATACTATCTTACGATCTTATTCGAAGAATAGATATTAATTAAGTTAATATAAATTGTCACTTAGGATGGTAATTTGTCAATATGACAATATTGATTAAACTTACGTCGCAATGATCTCATTATGAGATTAAATGATTAATGAATCTGAAGGTTTAATCTGAGCAGAGCAATGTATTTTTTTACATATTTGATTTTGCAAACTATAGAATTGATTTTATTTCAGGTCATTGCAGATTTGCAGATTTGAAGGCTTGAAGCTAGTGTTTCGAGGAGACGACTTAGACGAGGGGAGCAATTTGGATGTTCAAATGTTGGAAATCTTTAAAATTGAATTGAGTTTGTAATTTGGTAACGAAAACAAATGTGTAAATGATGTTTGTAATTCAAGTATTGGATAATTTGTAAATTATTATTTCTCTAAATGTATAATTGCTGCTTTCCAGTTTTTCACTTTTTTTTGCACTTTACCTTTTTTTTTTCCTAAAATTAGAATTAAAAATACTGTATAAACGGATAACCGGGTGGGGTCGGGTTGACCCGAACCCGAGACGGGTCGGTTCCGGGTTTAGAAAACCGACCCGTTTATAAATCCGGGTCGGGTTGACCCGAACCCGAATAAATCCGGGTCAGTTACGGGTCGGGTCGGGTTCGACCCGTAACCCGAAATTGACAGGTCTACTCTCGAGTCATCCAACTCAAGAACGAACTCCACCACGTTCAAATGAAAAATCTCACCATGCAACAATACCTAACGCAAATTAAAACCATAGTCGACAGCATTGCGGCCTCCGACTCAAAGATCGATCCGGAAGACATAATCCTACACATACTTAACGGATTACCCGCCTCCTACAATTCTTTCAAAGCTGCGATTCGCACCTACCCTATACCGCTTGATTTAGACAATCTTTATTCCATGCTCTGCAGCGAAGAGATCAATATCTCTCAAGAACTCGCCAAGGACACCTTATCCGCCACAGGTAACACGGCTCTCTTCTCAAATTCTTACAACCCGTACAAAGGTAGAGTGCAGAAACGGGTTGTCAAGAACAAACCTCAGCAACCAGTTCAAAACTCTATCAACCCTGCCACGGTTCAGCCTGCCACCGTGAACAACCCCAGACCAACCTGTAAAATTTGTGGCAAAACCGGCCACATCGCAATCAACTGTTGGCACATGTACAACTTTAAATACGCCCCACGACCACAAGATCTCTGCAAGCACTTCATGCTCAGACAACTCCAAACAATTCGACCGAATGGATCTTGGACACAGGCGCCTCGGCTCATCTCACACCGGACATCTCCAATGTTCAGTACCCTCACTCTTACGCAGGAACTGACAGCGTCTCCATAGCAAATGGATCGACTATTCCAATTCAAAACTCCGGTCAGGGTCTCTTACCTCTTCCCGATACACCCCGTAAGCTTTATTTACGCAAGATTCTTCATGTTCCATCTTTAGCTCAAAACCTTTTATCTGTCTCAAAATTAACCGCGGACAACCCCATTTCTATAAAATTTGACGCGAATGGTTTTGTTATAAAGGATATCCAGGATCGGCGTCCTCTACTTCGTGGCAATCTCCATGACGGTCTCTATAAGATTCCCAAACAGCAAGCTGCTACCCCTACGGCTCTACACGCAAGCAACACCACCGGCAACTTATGACATGACCGACTTGGGCATCCGAACCAGCAGATTTTCTCCATTCTGTCCCGACACATACCTGACATCAAGCAAAACTCTACTACTTTACCATGTATCTCTTGTAGTGTGGCCAAGAGTCACAAAATTACTTTTAATAGAACTATTTCTACTACTAAATTTCCTTTTGAGCTAATTCATACGGACATTTGGGGGCCAGCCCCTATCCCGTCTCTCGATGGATTTCGTTATTATGCTCTGTTTACAGATGATTACTCACGCTTTACTTGGATTTACCTAATGCATACAAAGCAAGAAACCTTTTCTAAATTCAAGATTCTTTACAAACTCATTAAAACTCAATTCAACACAAAACCGAAAATCCTCCGCTCCGACGGTGGAGGTGAATTTTTGAGCAATGAGTTCACTTCCTTTCTTCACACTCACGACATTCAACGACAACTCAGTTGTCCTCACACCCCTGAGCAAAATGGAGTGGCAGAACGAATACATCGACATTTATTAGAACTTACTCGCACTCTCATTCATGCTTCCAACATTCCTCATATGCTCTGGGCTGAAGCCTTATCCACCGCCAATTATCTCATCAACCGTCTTCCCTCCAAATCCATAAACCTCAACACACAGTTTCAACGTCTTCACGGTCGGCTACCTAACTACACACTGCTCCGCACGTTCGGCTGCCTTTGTTTCCCGTGGCTTCGACCTTACGCACAAGACAAGCTCTTGCCGCGATCGCAAGAATGCGTTTTTCTTGGCTACTCCACGTCCCACAAAGGTTACAAATGCTACAACCTATGAACACATAAGATTCATATTTCACGTCATGTTGTCTTCCACGAAACTATCTTCCCTTACAAAAACAAGAATCACCTGTTCTCTGATCCAATCGCTTCTCCGCAAACTTAGACATCTCCCTACCTCCTAACACCGATCTCCACTATCACACCTACACCGAACCAACCCGCTGCTACCGCACCTCCTCTTCTCCCATCCACACAAAATTCTGGCAGTCCAGCTATCACCGAACCTCCCAATTCCACAAACACTAGCACCACAACCATACCACTGTCTCCACCGAATATACAACAATCCTCACATCACATGACTACTCATCTAAAAGCAGGGATATCTAAACCAAAACGTATCTTTTCTCTTGTGACTACTAATCCCATGCAGGACACACCGTGCAACTACAAACAAGCTGCTCAGGTTCCGCACTGGCAGAAGGCCATGCTCGAAGAATTTCAGGCTCTAAAGAAACAAGGCACCTGGATCCTTGTACCTCCTCCGCTCAACAAACCAATTCTTGGCTGCAAATGGACTTACAAAAAGAAAGTCTTACCCGATGGCAAGCTAGACCGCTACAAAGCAAAACTTGTAGCTCTTGGCTACAATCAACAATTATGAATCAACTAAACGGAGACTTTCAGCCAAGTGGCCAAAATGACAACGATTCGTATTTTACTCACCTTGGCAGTACATAGAAAATGACAAATTCTACAACTTGACGTCTCTAATGCCTTCTTGCACTGTGACTTACCCGACGACGTCTACATGCGCTAACCACCCGGGTTCACTGATCCCAATTCGCCTAACTCGGTATGCAATATGAAGATGTCTCTCTACGGACTAAAATAGGCACCGAGCCAATGGTTTGAAAAACTAACTCAATTTCTTCAAACACAAGGCTTCAGGTTCAATCGTTCCGACCCTTCGCTTCTCATCTTTAAACAAAACGACATTCACATTTTCTTTATCATTTACGTTGATGATCTTCTCATTACAGGGAATGACACACCAACTATTCAAAAACTGCTCAAGGAACTCCGAACCAACTTTGCATTAAAGCAGCTTGGCGCCATTTCACTGTTCCTAGGCATCCAAACAATAAAGCAAGCAGATGGGCTCTTCCTAACTCAACAACATTATGCTGAAAAGCTTCTACGGGACTCCAATCTTACCGAAAGCAAACCTGCTCCTACGCCAAGCCCACTCAAAACAAAACAGCCACCGCCGGACCTACAACCATTCTCTGATCCTACAACCTATCGTCGCATTGCCGGATCTCTACAATACCTCTCCATCACTCGTCCCGACATCGCCTTCGCCACGAACCAAATCTGTCAACACATGAACCAACCGACCAACTCTGACTATCAAGCTCTCAAAAGGCTTCTTCGCTACATCAAAGACACGATCACTTACAGCCTTCCGATCAAACCCGGTGATCTCACTCTCCAGTCATTTACAGATGCCGATTGAGCATCCGACACATTAGATCACAAGTCTATCTCTGGATACTGTACCTTCTTGGGCTCGACACTTGTCTCATGGACCGTTAAAAAGCAAGTAACGGTCGCCAAGTCCTCTACCGAAGCCGAGTACCGTGCACTCTCGGCAGCCACCTCTGAAGTTCTCTGGCTCAGACGACTCCTGGACGAACTCGGCACTCCCCAAACCGTCCCCACCACTATATACTGTGACAATATCTCGGCAATGGCTATAGCCAAAAATCCAGTCTTCCATGCTCGTACCAAACACATCGAAATTGACTATCAATTTATTCGGCAACATCTCAACACCGGAGGAATACAACTCAGTCACATTTCTTCCAATGATCAGATAGCAAATATTTTTACAAAATCTTTTACACCTGCTCGCTTTAAAGAACTTCGTCGCAAATTAACCATTCAAGATCCGAATGATTAATTTGAGGGAGGCTCTAAGCGAACAGACTCAATGTATTTACTATTATGCCATCTGTTATCTATTTAAGTATCATTGTACTGTTGCCAGAATATTAATTCAATACAATCTATTCTTTCCTTTCTCTGCTTCCTCTGTAGTCGTCCACTTTCTTGGACATTCTTCTTCTTTCCTCATATATATATATATATATATATATAAGAATGGCCATCTAATAATAATGCTCAAATAACTCATACAGCATGAAAAACTTAAAGCAACAAAAAAAAAATCAGAAAGATGAAGTAGTTCTTATATAATTGCTTCTATATGATAAAAGAGCTATTGAATCAGGAGTAAAATTAGAATGCACTAGGTATAATTATTCTGAGCTATGCTAGACAATAAATTAGTCATCATGTTGAACAGCAATTGATAAATTCCATGAAATATACATATATACTGACATATTGTAAGAAAAGTGAACAGTAATTACCTTCTTGAGAGAACCTGATCACAAATTGGGCATGCACCATCATTGCTGAGTATCTTTCCAGCATCTTCTGTGCCTTACTCCACTAATTAATTTTCAGATTGTGTGTGAAATACTCGTGCAACGCTAAGACGTGAATTTAGAAACTCTACCGCCGCGTATATTCTCGCACGCAACAAACTTTGTTGAAGAAAAAAAAATATTTTGATTATGTTAATTAACTAATATAGGTTCCTTGAATGTAAACTTTAAAATATTAACATTTACGAGTAGAGAGAGAAGAAAGCAAAAGACTATTGTTTAAAATTTTTTGCATTTGCATGGTCTAAAATTTTTCATATAAAGAAAATAAATTAATACTATTTTATCAAAAAGTAAAGTAAGTCCCAAGAGCGAGAATGAGCAAAAGAATGAATGAAAGAGGAGCAACTGAATGAACTCTTTTTGAGCTAGCTAAGAAAAAAAAAGGCGTGCTAATTGGAGCTATGGAGATACAATTTGGTGATAAAGAAAATTTTTTTTTTTTTGGGACAGGGAGTATCAGCCTTTGGCCACTAATCTCCCCGGTCGACCTAGCGGACAACCCACCCCATACTCATCCGGGCCAACACTTAAGGCTTTGCACGAATTGCCATGGGATTCGAACTCGGGACTTGACCTATGGCCAGCCAGCTCTTCACCACCAAGACAACCCGTGGTGGGTGTGATAAAGAAATTTGGTAGACAATTTAGTGATTGCGAGGACTTTGAGCCTTTCCACTTTTCAGGATATATATATATATATGAGAACCGGAGAGATTAGAACCAAGAGCTGTTAATATGGGAAGATAAAGGATGGGAGGCTGGAAAGCTGTGAGTGTCTCCCCTCCTTCCATAGACCATAGTGTTTTGAGGGTAGTAGAAAGAACGCATGGCCCGGCAAGCATACATAAATATGATAATCTAAAAAAAGGAAAAGAGAAGATAGAGAAATGTTTGCCATGGCCAGCAGCCAGGAGGTTAAGTCTCATCCAACAGCCAAAGGAATAATTATTACATTTAACATAAATAGGAAAACAAAATCTATTCTCTCTTTCTATTTTTGTTTGCAAATTTGATTTGGTTGTCGATGCGACGTTTCACTGAGATGGCACCTGTTCTTTGCGTGTTAGAACCTCAAATTTATACATAACGCCAACACCTTTTATTATTATTTTCTTTCTTATAATGTCGTACGGTACTAAGCATCCATCACCGCCATGCTTATTATCACAGCTATTTGTTTCAGCTTTACGGAGGAAAATTTTTTTTTTTTTAATCAGTTAAACTTTCTGAACTTGTATGTCAAACACAAAGGGAGTTATAAAAACAAAGGTAAAGTCCCAAAATTCTGTTTGCAAAAAATCTTACCTAAATACTGACCAAAAAGGATGCCTAACGGCCTTGATAATTAAGTTGATAGAAACCAAAAAAACTCCATCTAACAAATAATGCAATCAGGATGACACAACAAAACCATGGAAGCCATAGCATATTGACAATTAAATATGTCAACAAACAATAGAAAGCTTAGTTTGCTTTGTTGCAAACCTTCCGGTTTTTAACTTTGAAGAATAGGAATCAGCAAGATCAGGAACACAAAAAAAGCCTTTTTTTTGGTTTTCCACGACATGAATCAGTATATCCACATAATTAAAAAGTCAAAAGCTTCCATCATCGATCAGGGATTAACAATCAGATCTCCACATTTGCACTTCCAGCTCAAAGGCTTATAGTTAGAGCTGTAATCACCTCTGATAACGTTCATTGGCGCAAATACCTTGCCACCTACGTTCCTCTGTTGAGGAATTGCGGGCACCTGTATTGCCTCACAGCGGCCGCAAGCTCTGCAAATCCCAATGCATAGTGGAGGTCTCGATCCAATCATTGATCCCTCAACAATTTCATCCTTCCCTTCTCCCTCCTACAGATTCAAACGACAAATCATTACAATTAATACATGTCGGAAAGGTAATGGATTTTTTATCCATGGAGAGCAGCCAAAGTACTTACATGAGTATCTTCTGAGAGTTTAAGTAATGGCTTACCTGCATTCCAATTTGATGTTTTAAATGAGAATTACTGTTGACATTCTTTGAAGATGAAAAGAGAACTTTATTTATATACCTGGAGCTAAGGATGGGAGCAGGGATAGAGTGAGGAAGATCAGAAAGAACGTGAGGAGGTAATGGACGCGTCTTTGAGCTTTAACTGAGAAGAAATAATGAACCATTCTGCAGAGAAGTGATTGAAAGAGTGATTAAATGCGGAGGAGGAGGTGGTGGGGGATCATTATAAACTGAGCTGAGAAACTTTGAAGAGTTCTTCGGGGTTTCAACTTACAGAGCTTTCTTGTAAGTTTGGTGTCCAGTGTTAAATGTAGTCAGGAGCAAGAGAGAGAGTGCTAAAATTGGTTGGTATCGGAAAGTTGTCCTAAAAAGCTATTGAATGAATGAATAAGTAACCTATGGATTCGAATAGAGAGAGAGAGAGATAGAGGCAGAAGAGAAAATGACAGAAAGTTAGGAGCATGGATTACAATAAAAAAGAGACTTTTTACAGGTAAAAGGAGAGATGACAGAATAAACTCAGCAGCATTGGTTTGTGAGCCGAAATTACAGAAGCGAAGAGACGTATCTGTGACATCCTATCAGTAACAAATAAAAACAATAAAAAAAAGGATTTTGCGTTTCTGAGAGATGTAAAGAAGGGGAGAGATGAAGGAATTGTTGCCATAAGGAGAAGATGGATCACATCTGCAGCTGTGAGCTTGTGAGGGCTCATTTTCAGGCTCCTCTGTTGCCATTATGATCTGTTAGCCTTTTCTATGTTAGTTGGTGTGGCTGCTTCGCTTGTGAAATGGCCTGTGCAGTTCCAATCCTACACGCCATCTCTTTCTATCTCTCTCTTTCTCTCTGTGTAGATATACAAGCAAGGAAAACAGACAAGTGAGAGGTGAGTTGTTACCAGATTAGAATCCACTATCACCAGTAAAGAGTGGGCCATAGCAGATCAATTTTTTTGGGTTGAGACTTGTAACTGTTAAACAACAGTAGATAGCTTTTACAGGATTTTTTTTAGCGCATTCTAATGATATGCAAACAGTTTTACTGCAGGGAAACAGAAAAACAACTCCTCAAGATTTCTCCATAGGCTTATAAAGGAGGTAATTAATTCTTCGTCCAATCTAATTATCTTTTATTAATTTCGAAGCAGCTCAATCATCTAAATGAACGTGACATTTATGAAAAAATAAATATTCTGCTAAGCAATGATAGATTATTTATTTTAGAGTAATTCTTTTCAGGTTCAAAAAGATGATAAATTTGTGTCAAAATAATTTGAAGCTACCAAAAAAGAAGACATTTTTGTTTTGATGGATGGCATTTTTGCTTCGATTACCATTTTTAACTTGTATGTATATAGCTACTCTTCAACTAATTTTCATCTTCTGCAAACAAAGATTCAACTGCTAAGTTTTCATTACAAGCGAATAAAATAATAATGATCCTATAAAAAAATAGTAAGCTAATATGCAGCAGCCTCGCTCTCTATTAGCATATGTTGTATAAGAATAATGTATCCAGTTGAAAAATCAGTCTTTTTTTTTAAATTAATACACACAGCTCTAACCTTTTTTGTTTGTTTGGCCGGCTTGATGGCTCTATCAATCAACGGTTTTTTCTTTTCTAAATAACTTGCGACCTAAGGAAAGTCTACTGATACCATATACTAACTTCCTAGTTCCTGCAACATAATTTTTTTAATTGAAGGGCTATGCCCATTTTCATTCATTATAGAAGATAATTACAAGTGCGCAACAAGTAAAAAATATAAACCCAAAACAATATGAAAGAATGAGTATGAGCTGCAACCAAAAATATGCAATGCTCAAAGGTTCAACATAAACAAGATGGATGAAGAATACTTTTCAAATATGGATTCAGAATTTCCAAAGAATCACCTCTATCAACAATGAAAAATAGCCACCAAATTGGTTTTACACCCTCGATTGCCAAACTGCTATCAAGGGGGTGCAAGAGTATCACTTATCATTATTGTTGCGTGCCAGAAAATTCACGATGGTAGAGAGGTAAAGAGCTTAGTTTTGAATGAAGATTTAGCGCACACACACAGATAAGAAAGAGGGGTGCAAGATTTATAAGAGACGCCAAAATTTATAAGCGACAGAGGTTGAAAGAAGTCAAAGGATCATAGCTGGGCTACTAAGGATAGAGGATCTTAGTTGGGCGGTCAGAGGGACCTTAGTCAGCGGGCAATGGAGATTCGAAGGATCGTAATCGGCCGACTGAGGTTAAAGGATCATAGTGTCACATCCCATGATCTATAATGGAAAAATTGTATTTGTCTTTATTTCTTTTCTTTAATCCATATATTACACATGTCATATAAACAACAGAAAAAATATGTTTGCATTTATATTCATCAATATGTACAATTACTACAAACCCAAAGACGTCATATACATGATAGTTATGATATAAAGGGCTAGTTATATCACTATAAATATGTCATGATTATAAAATGAACTGCAGGTGTCAAAAAAGAAAACTAAACATATTATATGGAGTCTCACATCATAAGGTCCTTATCATTTTCTTAAAATATATATAAAATCATGTAATGAGCATAAATTCCAACAAAAACTAAAGTCTTACTATTGAAATCAATATAATGAAAAGAAAAAAAAATGCTTTAAATCATATAAGAAAATATATACCAGTCACACATATCAATCAATCACTTTATCCTTATCATGCAATCCGTTTCACTTAGTCATATCATTCAATCATTCTCGTTAGTCTATCAGTTTTATAATTACAGTAATATTAGTATCCATATTCATTAATAACAAGCAATAATTGAAATCAACATTTGTATAATGTGTATCAGTATATAATAATCAATATTAATTATTAATAATCGGTAATCAATAATCTATTAGATATTCAAATAAGGGTATCTTGCTGTTGCCTTAGGACTCTCGATTAGTCGTATTCAGTCAATCTCAATCATAATCTTCGCTTTATCTTGTCAATAAGTCAATCATATCAGTGTTCAAATATCTGTAATACATATATCAATAATGACAATACTTTCTATAATGCATCAATACTGACAATACAATTTGTAATATATCAATAACGTCAGTATTATCTGTAATGTATCAATACTAGCAGTACTATCTATAATATATCAATATTGAAAGTACTTTTATCATATTCATTAATATTGGCAGTACTCTTATCATATATCAATTATTATCACTACTATCAGATATCATCAATACTATATGTACTCTTATCATTGAGGTATCAGTACAATCATATGTACTTTTTTTATTGATCAGATATCAATCAGTACATTAGCATTATTTCAGTACATCATTTTCATACATATTAATCACTTCAATTATTTCATCACATATGACTTTTCAATATTATCATGTCAACCATAAGACATCATTTTAGCCCGTTTTCAGTATGCCTTTTTTCTATTCATTTTATTTAGAAATTTCTATGCACATTTTTAACCGGTAAAAACATAATAAAATAATATCAAATCATTCAAAATGATTTAGTTTATAATGTATTAAAAGTTATACATTGAAGGTTTACAAAATTAGGAGATAATGCATTTTTGAAAGATTTAAGAAGATAAATTTATAGAAATTAAAATCATTGAAAATAAAAATAAGAGGATAGTTACTTACAATGATTAAAATAATTTTTGTAACAAAAAAGCCCTGACGGCCCTCATCTTCTCTCTCTCTCTCTCTCTCTCTCTCTCTCTCTCTCTCCCTCCCTCCTTTTTCTCTTCCCTTCCCCCTTCTTCTCCTTCGATTTCTTACCAGCCAAGGCACGAGTGAGGGAGGCGGTGGGGGTAATGATTGGGATATATACAATAAAGAATAAGTATAAATACTATTTGTGTCCTAGCACCGCAGTGATGCATTTCAATTTCAAGGTTACTCTAGAACAAAGACATAAGCGTTGTAGCGATATTTTCTGGCGCCGTTTTGCTCTTATGCACAACACCACTCTGCTCCACTAAATATAGAAATTTTAGATTTTAATCATTGGCGCAAATGATAGAGAGGACGGTGACACAAATTTCACTTTCTGGCGCTTCGGTTGAGTGTAGTGCTGCGGCGCTCAAACATGCCACATTGAGGCGCTCCAAAAGTAACATTCTTGAATTTTGCCGAAATTCACACGCAGTGGGACTCATTCTAGAGCACACCCAAATATTTTCAAGCATTAAAACACTTTATAACACATGAAAATGGGTTCAACCCCAAAATTTCAAATATTTACTAATTACCTTTTTCGAGCTATTATACCCTTGCCTTCCTCCACAACCCCTTTACCCACTGAAAATATCATTCCACCCTTTTTGATCTTGATCCTCACTGCTCCTTTGTTTGATGGGGATATTAAAGATGTGGTATTCTCTTCTATTAAAAATGCCTCTCATGGACCTGATGGGTACTCTTTTGACTTCTACCCCTCAACTGGCCGGAAATTACTAGAAAACATGTTTGTAAAGTTATTCATCAAATTTTTTTTTAAGTTCTCTCTCCAAGAAAGTTAAATCCATTGACATGTCTCTTATTGCCAAATCTCCAAATAAGGGGAGCATCAAAGAATAAAGGCCTATATCTCTATGCAACACGTTTAACAAGATTATAGTGAAAATTCTTGCTAATGGGCTTAAGCTAGTTCTTCCCTATATCATTAACTCATCCCAAGTCGACTTCATTAAAGACAAATTGTCTTCTGATAATATTCTTCTTACTTTGATATTTCTCTGGTTTCAACAAAGCTAAGAAGGAAAGTTTTTTTTTTTTTACGCCAAATTTGATATCTATAAGACTTGATATAATTTCTACAGAATTTAATCTAAATAGGTTGAAGCTCAAGGGGTTCCCTTTTTTATTGGCTAGATTAAATCTTGTATTGACAATGTTCATTTTTCATTATGCATCAATGGTAACTTAAAGGTTGCTTCAACTCATCATCAGGTTTGAGATATATAGGGTTGTCCCCTCTCCCACTACCTCTTATGTATTGCTATGGATGCTCTCTCGATTTCCTTAGATGATGCTATGATGGATGGGACTTTTGGTGGAATCAAAGTGGATAACCTAAATATCATTCATATGTTATATGCCGACGACCTCCTTGTCTTTGGGAAGGCCAGCTCCCATACTATTACCTCTCTCAAAATATCTAAAATTCTTTTCGGATGGTCGTTGGCCTTAAGATTTATACTGTTAAAGTTCTATTACATTTTCTAAGTGCACCCATCTTTATAAAAATCTCTGCAGCATTTTGGATATCTTAATCAAAACTTCCTCCTCAACCTACGTGGGCATTCCTATATCGCCTAAGCTGCTGCACATTTTTTATTATCAAGGCTTATTGAGTAAATCGACTTCTCTTCTGGATAGTTAGAAAAGTAAGTCTCTTTCTATGGCTAGTAGATTGCAAAACCTTAAATTCACCATGGAAAATGCTATAGCTTATTGGATTAGAGCATCCATTATCTCAAAAACATGTATCAAATTCCTTAACAAAATTTGTGCCCGGTTCTTCTTTCATGGGGACATAAAAGCAAGGAAGATTCACTTAATCTCGTGAAAGGAGACATGTAAACCTCTTCCTTTTGGTGGCCTTGGCATACCTACTATCACAAACCTCATTCATGCCTATAATTTCTCCACTATTTGGCATGGCATCACTAAGGACTTTCTTTTCTCCAGGTATTGCAAGCATAAATACTTCCCTTTCTGGAATTCGAGCTTGGTTTGTGCCTCTAAATGGTTGAAAAATATTTGAAAGATAGCATAATCTATTAGAAATCTTTTTGAATTCAAAGTTATAGAAGGATGTAGCTTTTCCTTTCTATGGGACCCTTGTTTAATGGAAATGTTTAGCTAGCTTGGGGGTGGGTCCTTCATTGCATTTATGGCTAATCCCTATTGCAATGACATATTTTATTCATAACAAGGAATGGGTTCTTTCCCATTCTATTCTTGAGGCTATTAGACAGTGCATTACTTCTGTTATTATTCATGATGATTCAAAAAGCCTCTTTGGAGCTAGAAGGCCAAGCCTAGGATTAGAACTTTTATTTTTTCTATTTGCTCAAATGCAACATCACTTCCTTGGCTCAATCATCCCTGGCACAAAAAAATTTCTTCTCATTTTGTCTATTTATGGTTGGCTTGCTTTAAAAGGAGGCCTGAAAACTGTAGCTACACCTTTTAGGAGAAATATTCAAGTTCAGCATATTTGTGGCCTTTGCCTATCTTTTTTGGAGAATAATACTCATCTATTTTTTGAATGAGATGTTTATTTTTAGTTATTATGCAATATTTCACCTTTTCTCTCATCCTTCATGCTGTGGCCTAAAATTAAAGGAGTCCTGGAATATATTTATGGCAACAATAGCATACCTACTGATGCAAAAAAATGGCTTTTATTTAATGATTTTTTGCTTAACATGTTATCTTTGGAAGGAGCGTAATTTGGGTTTTATATTAAAAGTCAGTCCTATCTTTTATGGGAAGTGAAGCATGCTGTTTCTCTCAAGTTTTCAAAGTAGAAAAATTGGGATGTTTTTGAAGTTTACTTGAGATAATTATGTGTCGTGAGCTCACTCCTGGAGGCTTTTGCAACAATTGGGTTCTCTGTATTTTCTTGTTCGCAAGTTTGTTCAAGACGATGATGATCAGTTCATTGACTTGGCCCCTCCAAACTCACCCTAGATGGTCTCTGCAATTTTTGCTCAAGCAACCGGGTGTTTTCTGATGTTGAATTCTACAATCAACTGGTTTTGTGATATATTTTGTTGTCTTAGTCCTTTTTTCTTCCTTTTTTTTTGTATAATCTTGGTTGTACTTTTAGTTTTTGTAGTGTACACCGAGCTTTGCAAGTTTTTTAGTGCAGCTCTTATATTTCTACTTTCTTGAGTAGGCCTTGATCTCAAAGTTTTTGTAAGTCTTTTGTTTATAGCAAAGAAATTGGGTTAGACCCTAACTTTTTTCCAAAAAAACAAAAATATCGTACATTTGACTCCATTAAAACAATGTAATTAAAAAAAATCGATCTCAATCAGTTTCATGCCCCCATAATAATTTCATAAAGTTATGACACTACTGTCTAATATCACAATAGGGTAAGATCTCAACCGTCCAAATAGAGAGCCCGGTTCCTATTCGCTTCTTGATAATAGCAGGCTTTCAGTACATTAATAAGTTTCGAATCAAATAAGGAAAATATTAATCAGACAACATTCTATATGATTCTTAGGGTCAAAACGTTACGACTTACAGACTATCAACATATTAGGACGGCTTAGCAGATAACACAAAAATGCTCAAAGGCCATTCCAACCATAACTACAGGACCTGATAGGGCAGTTAATTACAAAAGACCAATTAAACATATTATGGTTGCAACATACTTCGAAGCTGAATGTTAGGCAAAATATCAGAGATGGGGAATCACTGATCCAAAGCAAGCTTTCTGAGAACGATTTACGTAAAATCACGATGCAAAATACAATATCAGGCGTAGAAGTAGCTACAATAATATTGTTTGAAAAATAAAATTTTAAAAATTAACGAGTATTATAATTCCCCGATACAAATTTATAAGAACATCTAATTCACACAATAACGACCGAATGAGAAAGAACAAACTCCTAGCCCATTAAGAGCTATTACTTTTAACAGCAACTGGATCTGAGCAGTAAGGGCAGTTCCCGAATAAGACATTAAATGACCTACAAGAAAAAGCTAAGAAATTAGCAGCGAATGAATTTCAAATTAACGGAGGAAGCTGCAAATATAATGAAATAGCTGCTAACAAACTGTCTTGTGGTTGTGATTGAACGAAGCCAATCCCTCAAGCAAATAGTATGAAAAGCCCGACTGCAACAAGGATTATCACATTTGTAATCTGGTTCATTACTACTACCCCCAAGTTCATCATCTACATGTCCACACAAACACAAAGAAAAAGTTTACTAACGCTGTTGTATGATTTGAATTTTACTAAATAAACTAAATACCATGAGGTAGATACTGAGCATAGCAAATTCCACAATCAATTTGCTCCTCTATTTTCTTGCACTCTTTGGTAGGACCAGGTAAGGTAGTCTCCAAAAGAACAGCTAGATTTTCCATAAAAGATCTCCCATTTGACCTACAAATAAGAAGAGAAGTATAATAAACTTTGAATCAGCGCATAACGTCATATGCAATTTATCCGCTGGGATTGTAATATGCAATTTATCAAGTTCAGAACTTCAGGTGCATAGTGAAAGTTTAAAAAACAACATCAAACATTTATCCCACTACATGATGTTGTTGCAGTGAAAGTTCAGTAATTTATATATGAATGGTAGAAGATATAATATTATAAAAAAATAATCTAATCAAATTTTGATCATATAGATCTCATAGATATTAGATTAGCTTTGAGAAGATTCAATTCATAATAAATAAATAAATAATTATATTGCATATATCTCAAAATTAATCTAATATATTAGAGATTCAAATCCTAACCAAATTTTGTTTAGAATATGCTAACGGAAAATTTTCCATAATATTATACCGAAATTAAAAAAACCAACTGATCATCTAAAAGAGGAACATATGCACTGATGTCCGAGCTTATGAAATGTGAAGCAACGAAAAGTCTTTTAATAGTCTAAGTTCTTTTTTTTTTTTAAAGGAAAAATAGGTGAAACAAGGCCCTATAAGTATTGTAAAATGAGAGGTGGGAATAAAGTGACGAAATCTGCATTGCATGCCAGCGTTTCTGCCATCTGCCAAACCTTTCAATAACAAATTTTTTATTTTTTTTAACCAAACTAAAAATCCATTAAATAAAAAAAGATACAGCAGAAGACCCCAACAAGGGCTACATCCATATGATTACAATCAATGGAAAAACAAGAAAAACACCAGCATAGAAATAAACGACAAATTGCGGACTCAGACCGACACCTAGTTGCTAGGGTGGGGCCATCCAAGGAGGTAAGAGAAAACATCCAAAACGAGAAGCAGCCTAAAACCAAGCCACCAAGGTTGCCAACCAACCCTGGCCATCCAAGACACAGCAGCAAAGCTTCTTCCTCATCGTCCATACTGTTAAAACTAGCATCGCAACCAAAGTACTGCAAACCGGAAAAAACTCCCATAATAAGAAAGGAGAGCCAATAATACTTGGTATTTCATTTTCTTTGCCTCCCAGAATTATCGAGCGAGCCTGTTTCGAACTTACGAGCAATAGAATCTTCCCTACTATCCAATGCCATGTCATCATACAACCAATCACATTGCCATCTAACAGAATTTCTAGTAACACGGGTAATTAAATTAGCATTAGAAATGACAGAAACAGGCACCTCCACCAATTGCGACTCAACACCTGCTTCCTCAACCTCAACCAAAACTTCAGCACCACAATCAGCTAAAGAGTCTGAAACATCACGCGACAATTCCACAGCACCAAAAGGACTAACAATACGATTAACAGGACAATAAACTTCATTCCCAGACACAAAGACCTGGGGCACATTCGGAGAAACAACACCAGCCACATCAGCAGAAACCACCAAGTCCCCAATACTACGGGCAGCTGGGGAGAGAGCTGGGTTAGAACCACCCACAACACTGACATTAACCTCCTGGATAGGAGAAACCAAAATAGCATTCGAATCGACCAAGACAGCAGGAGAAAGAGGATTAACATAAGAAACCTCAGCATTAGAATGCACGGGGACACCAACCGGATCAACACCCTGAACCACTAACTCACCCCGAATAGACTGAAGCTCAACATGATAACAAACAACATCAGCTAAAGCAACGATACCATTATTCGAGACAGCAGGACCCAAAGGAGACAAAGAAATAGGTAAATCATAATTCTGAATAGTTGGAGCAAGAAAATCACCCTTAACAGACGGCTCAGCGACAGGGGAAACAACCTCATTCGAAACAGGAGGCAAAGGGGGATGAAGAATTGGGCATTCAAGCTTCGAATGGCCCAAAGACTTACAGTGAGGGCAATCGAATGGAAAGGGCTCCATAACAACCGTTTGGATATAACCCAAGCCCTCGTATCCAACCCACACCTTGTCCGGAAAAACTTTGGTTACATCTAATTCCACCAAAACACGCGTGACCGACAGCGCCTACCAGACGAGGTCGCCTGATCAATTTTCAGAGGTCCACTGAACATAAAACCAAGTCCATGGAGAATCCTAGGGGCAAAGAAATGAAGCCTCAAATTAGGAAAAGATACCCAAATAGGGATAATGGGTGATTCAATTTCAACATCAAAGGTAGGAGTCCATTTAAAAAGTTTCATAAAACAATTGTTCACAAAGTATGAGCGATGGGAGAAAACACGGCAGTAGTCCAAATCATTTACAAGCTTAACAAGATCATTCTCCGATGAGTTTGAGATTAAACAAAAATTTGCGAATAGCCTCAAGCGAAGGCCAATGCGACGGAAATTTACCAACAAGCGCAAACTCGAAAGGAGAAGCCAAAGCTAGAACTTCCTCATCCAAAATCCATAACGACGACATCCCACGAAAAGAGGAGATTTTTAGGTCAGGAAAACTAGAGTTCGAAGAAGAAGAACCCGATAATGCCTCTCGAAAAGACCGAGAAGAGGGATTGCCAGCCAAAAAATCAGGATCCCGAAGACGCTTGCCGTCCATCGAAACAAAAACCACAAAAACATATTTTTGATGTGATAGTTTAAAGTTGCAAATTAGGTATAAGTAAAAACACTTTCAGCAAGTGTCAAATGCCTTTTTTAATGACACCATGGCCCGAGTTAGGCCTCTTAGAATGCATAGTATTATACCCTTCTAAAGAAACAGATAAACTTTGGGAAGAAACCTATTGATGAGACCGATGAAAACAACCTATACCTTCCAAAGGTTATCATTGCCTAATGCATGGAAGATGACCCCAACATATAGTAAACACTAAACAGACATAAAATACAAGTACTGATTGAACTACTTTGAATTCACTTCTAATGGCTACTTAGTCTATATAAGAACATGTATTAGGGAGTTTTAAAGTACCATTTTTACTCATTTTGCTCTTAATTGATTGCTTTGATAAAAAAAGAACGAGTGATACCTCTTTCAAGGGAGAGCAACTCCCCATAGTTGCGTGAATGAATCACCAAGTTTCTTTGTAAATTCTATTTTCTAATAATGAAAAATCCATACCATTCTCTTCTTCCCAAATTGGAATCCTTTGCTACATTTATTTAGCATTACAGCTAGGTTTATCATTTCATGTGGCCAACATACCTTACCAATTCACATATTGACCATCCATGAAGCTACACTTCTGAAATGAGGTGCATGAGAAATGGCAATGAAATGCCAATCTCCAACGTATGATAAAGGATATGCCTCATTGATTGCTATAATAAGCATCTTTGACACATCGAAAATGCTCACGACAAGTCTGATAAGATCATTCTACGTAATAGAAGAGCTTCTAGAGTAAGAAGATGTCAATATAGTAAGCTCAAAATTTGAAATTTTGTATCAATCAGAACTATCACAACAACCCTCGCCAAAGGCCAAGGATCGTCTAGCATCTGCAATCGAAAATGATGACAAGATAATTCAAATTGAAATGTCCGAATTTGATGTTAAACTTGACCCCAAATCTTTTTTGTGATTAGATTGATTCTGCTGAAACTTTTTTTTTCATAGAAAGAATTAATGAAACGTTAAATTTTGTTATGGTGAACTTCATAGATCATGCATTAATTTGGTGGCAACAATAAGTCATGAATAGAGAGGCCTTCATCATATTTCATCATGGGATTACATGAATAAATAAATAAATAAATCATGGGATTACATGAATGATAAACTACATGATTTTTTTTTCATTGTATTTTTCGCAAACTTAATATCGCCAATTTAATCATTTAAAACAAACTTTGGAATGTCAAAAACTTGAAGTCGTATTACTCATAATGCAAATGGCCAAGGTTTGATATTTATTTATCTATTTAAATATTACTAAATGATAAGTTTCCATAAAAAATAAATCTGGATCTCAACTCGAAGGAAGGTGACTCTAGGAGCGCATAAGTAGAGCGAGGAACCCAAAGGATCTAGATTAAATTCTAATGTATGTTGAACCTTGAAGAACAAATTGTACACTCCCAAAACGATAAAAGCTCAAACCATGCATGCATATTTCTTTTTTTTTTGCAAACAAAAAAAAAAAAGAAAAAAAAACACATGAATCTTGTCACAAAAAACATGAAAATAACCAATTGTATATGAATTCATGTTGCACTTTACTTTATTGTACAGTACAACTCAAAGAACAAGACAAAGCCTCTAGGTTAAGGTTATGAATCAAAGTCTCTAGGGTAAGGCTATGAAATAAACACGCTCAATGCAACCAAGCCCTGATAATAACAGTCCATTAGCTCCTAAGGGAGTAGTCTTGGAACGAAAACCAAAGTCAAACCCAGTCAGAAAGAATGGGACCACCTTTGGACATGCATCACTTGGAGATTGCAAACAACAAGGGCCATCCAATACCTAGACCAAGCAAAACTTGGGTTTGTCTTTTGGAGCAGTTCTTACACAATTTGAGTGACTTGTGAAAATTTAGTGAAAATTGAAAAGTTGATACACAATGAGCTAAAATACGATTCAATTCATCATCCTCTAAAGGGCAGATGCATTCTCTATTCAAGTAAATACATCTAGGTATTGATGCTCGCATTAAAATTAAATATGGAGGAAAGCAAATTAAGATGTTTTAAAAGAGTATAAGCATGACATAATCACTGAGCAAATCCATAAGAGATTGTGCAATACAAAGGCATGCGTAAACTCGCTTACAGCAAACCTAGGCCAAATATGATTCAAATAATCACTGGAAGTTAAGAATCTAAGGTCAATACATCCTCCACTAAAGGGTAGATATATCTTCAATCTGAGTGGATACATTCTCTCTTCAAAGTTGATACATCACCAATAATATGCCGACACTTGCATGATAAACTGAATTTGTTAACATTGAGATTTTCATTTGGATGCAAATCATGCAAATACACAGTTTTTATATGACATTCTAAGAAGGAATAATAAAGTCACAATAGTTAGCCAATGAATGCAAGTCTCCACGAAGCAGTTTGGTAGCAAATAAAGGCGTGACTTTTGCAAATGACTGCCTCAACAAATTGGAGCATAGTTGAGGCGAAGACAATAGTTTAGGAAGCTGAACCTACCATACAACCATTACTTGAATGCCACAAAAAAGTAGTAACATATTTCTCAGTAAAGACTATTCATAAGAGAAAAAAAGAGATATGTATAGAATGCAAGGCACAACAAGAAGCAAATGATACTGAAGAATACAGAGTAAAGAACAAATTTCTTTAATCCTCCATAGGACTAGTAAGGATGAAAACGAATGGAAGAGAAAAGAATGCCTCCAAAGTCAATAGAAAGAAATGAAATTGAGATGACATTACTTGACTAAGCAAATGATTAGTCAAGAACATAGCGAAAAATCAATGTGGCGTGAATGATAACCATTAGGAAGAAGGTTGATAGATGAGCAAGGAATGACTTTGGATGAGGGAGAGGTCAAGGGTTTCAACGAAGAAATGCCCTAGTTCCCATCATGAAGCTAGAATGAAGCTTAGACAAGTGGAATTCAACACTAGTTAAGTAGTAGGAGAAAAGCATAAGAAAGAAAAGATGCAAAAGAGGGTGAGAATAAATAAGTTAGCATCAGACTTTTCAAGCAGTAAAACAAGGAATTGTTACTACTAGTGGAAGGAGGATATTAGAATCCTTTCAAACACCACATGCAGTTGGACAACCTCCTGAGCCGAAACAAGCTAAGGATACTAAAAAGGCTGCATTACTAAATTGACAAACAAGGGATCTTATTTCTTCTTTCTCTGAAACTAAACCAATCCCTTGTTGATGGGTTTACACCATCTAATTTTGTCTTGAAGAATCTGTTGACTGGTACAAAGCTCATCTTGTAGACAAAGAAATTACTCGGGTTTATAAGATAGACTATTTTGACACTTTCTCTTTAGTTACAAGACTAGATTCTTGCCAAATTTTGTTATGCTGCCACAAATCAAGGTTGACTATTACTTCAAATGGAAGTTAGCAATGCCTTCCCTTATAATGACCTTATTGAATCCAATTATATAAAGTAACTTTTATGGTATGTTGCCCAAGGAGAGACTAGAGTTTGTAAACTAAACACAACAATTTATAAGCTTAAGCAATGAGAAATGGTAACCAAGGACAAACACTATCGTAAAAAATATTTTCTAGCAAAGGACTTGGATCGTCCCAAATATTTTATGAGCATTAATTTTGATTAAAACAAAACTAGTGCTTCACAATCCCAACAGAAATATGCTATTGATATCTTAGAGGAGATTGGTATTTTTTAATTCAAACCAATTGACACTCCAATTAACATTCAAAATATTGCTAATAGAGAAGAATAGTTTGAGGATGTTTCTCTTTATCATAGGTTGATTGATTAATTGACCTTACCATAACCAAACCTGATATGTCCTTTGTTAGGTGGGTTGTGAGACGAATAAAAAGCAGAAGGGTAAATGGAAAATAAAAAACAAAAAATAAAGAGTTGTTGATAAAAAACAAGGAAATAACTTGCACGTAGTTTTTCAACAAAAAATAAGAGCAAGTGCACCTAGTCAAAATGACAACAGAATAGAAAAATACATTAAAAAAAGTAGCAAGATCAACATCCTACCATACCATTTTCCGCCATTTTTTTTCCATTTCTTTCTGATTGTTTCTATAGCAGACTCAGGACCCAATAATCGATACCTGAAGAATTTATAGACATTAATACAAGTCCATATATGATGATTATATAATGCTGTAAGACAAATTACAGTCGGAAAAAAAAAAAATATCAAATTTCAGATGCCCTAAAGTTGAAAGGGAGCTTCGTTGGGAAAGGTATATATCTTCATATGATTGGAAGTGAGGAAGAGTGTACACCAAAGAATTATGGAAGCTTGCAAAGGACTAACAACAAAATTCTACATGAAACTACCATGTAATGAGAATAATGGTAAAATGAGAATCATTGTTCGGTGAAAGAAAAACATAATTGAGAAGCTTACTACAAAATTTAAGATAATTAGAAAATTACATTGATATTTTGCTCAAATAAAGCATGGCTTGTCATCAAAACATCAATTTCAAGTCAAGCCAACTCATTTCAGAACTTAGATTTAGTTGGTCTTAGAGCGAATCAAAATTCCTTAAAATCATATAAAAATTCCTATTTATTTATGAATGTAAGCTTGCATGTATAAGTTTGTATTTGTATGAGTGTACCCAAGCAAATATATTGCATACAATTCATGCATGTGTGGATACCAATGTGTAGGCCGAGGAATTTGAGATAAATAATCAAATCAAGTCATTCTTTGGCTTGGAAAAGTTCATACAGAAATCAACAGGCCATGAGCAATCAAATCATTCCTCAACTTGGAAGTCCATATATAAATCAACAAGCCATGAGTGGCTCAAATTGAGGTCCTATCAAGATAGCTTAGAGCCAAGTGTAGCTTAAATGAGATGCTTTGAGCCATCTCAAAGGGCCTCAAGATTGGATCATTTACAGACATATTCAATAGGTAATAAGTGAATAATTATTACAAGGAAATTACATTGGAGCTTACACTAACCTAAGCATTAAACAATGACAAAAAAAAATATATAAAGCCTAAAAAAACTAAATAAAGGTTTTAGAGACAAAATTGCAATGCCATATTATCTAAGGACACTACTAAAAGAAAAATGAAAGATACCAAAATTTATCAAAATGGTCCTCTGACTCTTTACCATAGGAATATTTTGACTCATTTTTAAAGATTTGAGGAAGCAAAATAGTCTTTTAATATAGTTGGAGACCATTTTTGTCATTTTATCGTGAAGTAAATATGCCTTCGGAATAAGCGCATTATAAGAGAAACAACATTGGCTAGAAAACAAATCAAATAGGCTTGAGTCAAATAGCCAATGAGTATAGGCTGAAGCATGAAGCAAGTATTCAAACTCGAGAGAAAGGGAAGTTTTCGAAGACAAAAGAAGTACTCGAAAGTAGAGAAGACGTGACCGTATATTTATTTGGTAGTTCGACCCATGTCGACTCATATCTACTTGCATAGAAGGATCGGGCTCGAATTTAAATTTATTATTTGACCCGCGCAACATCCTCATACATTACATGTTACCCATGACGCGCTCATCGGGGCCCATGCAGATATACGATTGCACATGCATTTTCTTATATTATGCTTACAAACTTGGATGTACATTTACACTTTCATATGTGTTTTAAGGCGCTTGAACATGCACTTATGTATTTATATGTATATATGTTGTAATGTATGTGTGGGGGAATTTTAAAATATAATGCTGATCAGATGTGCGACAACTGTCATTTGAATGTGTGCGATGTTCCATTTGAGAGCTTGTAGATGCCTTATGTCCACTTGCATGAGTCAGGCGGATCTGGTGGCATTGTGCTACGTCATGCATTGTTTGTTGCTTCTTACAGATGAGTTGCCGTTGAGAGATGAGCAGGGCTTCATTTGAGAATTTGCATACGCCTTATGTCCGCTCGTATGCATGCTGTGGATCTGATGGCGTGGCATCGCACTACGGGTTGCCCGTTTCTTTATACAGGTAGACTGTCGTGCACTAACAAGTCTTCCTCTACAGCTCGTAGGAGCTTACATTTGCTGAAGATCTTCGATATTTTCTCGTAGACAGTACATTGTACACGTGACAAGCCTCCGACAACGACTTATAGGAGCGTGTATTTACTAGAGATCTTCTGTATTTGTTCATGGATGACACTTTGTGTATGTGATAGGTCTCCTAAGGTGATTCACAGGAGCTTATATTTTCTACGTATCATTTGCTTCTACTTATGGAGGATCGGTGTATTTGTTTGATACTGAGTGATGGTTGGCTGCAAGGATGTTGTGACATCTATTATCTGCCATTTGCTATCGTCTATGTGTAAACTACTGTGTATCTTGGATCTTCAACTATTATCCATAAGCAATTCGTGTTCACTCATGACGAGCTTCCTATAATTGCTTGCAAATGGCACCATGGGTGTATATCTACATTCACAAAGGACCCATTATTCTTGCAATATGTCTATTGTTGATGATTGCAATGTCTAATATGCCTTCTTGTAGGACTGTTGTGCAGACAGCATCAAAGTTCAATTTTGTTGTTTGCGAGGTTAATATATATTTACTTCTGTTTTGATGCTGACCACAGAGTGTTATTCATTGCACCTCGATCCTTCAATTTTTATAGGAGGCCAATACATTTGCTTGCATACTACTATCGGTCGTTGGTTGAGCTGCATTTGCCATTGATTCATCCTTATATGTTGACTAACGAGTCACTCCATTCACAACTTATCTGTTGTTGTTGCTTACAAGTGGAATAGTGCATTCATTTGCGAGCTAATTGATTGTCGAACATTGGGAAATTGCAGCACTCATTGTATGCTAATCATTGTTGGTCACGAGTGATCTAGTGCACTTGTCTATCATCTAATTGTCATTAATTGCAAGCGGATTATCTTCACCATAACCTCATTTTCTTCATTTCTAATAATACTGCATTCTTCATACATGAATGTTGGTTGTCGACTTGTCGTCATTTACAGGAGTTGGGTGCGCTTGCTGATAGTTGATGTATGTGCTTAGCATCGTTGTAGGGGGTTAATGTGTTGTTGATAGTAGAGATGCTACTGCATTCATTTGCACATCTTTCATGCTTTATTCATAAATATCCCCTTTATTGCAATGATCCTTACTTTACAAATATGATCAAGATAAATATTGTTCATGGGTGAGTTAGAGATTTTATATCATTAGTCATACTCAAATTATGTATTTGTATTGATCGTTGCTAGTGGATGAGTGAAGGAATTTTCTTAGTCTACCACATGTCATTGCTCATAGTTGCTCGTCGATGTTCATTTAATTGCTTTAAACGTTATTTATCATTTGTATTTTCATTTTTATTTTGCATTTATCAGTTTAGAGTTTGGTTCCCTACTTTTTGGTCCTATAATTTGCAAACTCAATTCCCATTCAAAGAGAAGTACCCAAGGATAGGGGATTGGGGGCATGACCTAGGAAAATTTCAAGTGGTAGACTAAGGCAAAGGTTCTTGAGAAGCCAGCTAGGGAGTTGTGTTTCTATTGTGATGAGAAGTTTGCACTGGGCCACTGCTGCAAGGACAATTTATTTTATTGTAGGTACTTACAGTCTATGATGAGGAGGATTGAGGAGGAGGAGCATTTGCACCTAGATGTGGAGGAGGTCTTCCTGAACTCAATGGTGGGGTTTACCTCAAATCCACCATGAAGCTGAGGGGACAAATAGAACTATAGAAGGAGAATAAGTGGTAATTCTGGTGGACAGTAGGGTGATTCACAATTTCATCTCTAATTAAGTGATGGATCGGTTGGGGCTGAAGCTGGTTGACAAGAGCTGTTTTGGGGTAATGATGGGAATGTGGAAGGTGGAGAAGAGTAGAGTCATCTGCCCATGGCTAATGGTGACACTACAGGAGATCCAAATGAAGAAGGATTTCTTTTCCTTGAAGTTAGGGAACACATGTAATTTTGGGCAGGAAGTGGTTGCAGACCCTAGGGGAGACCAAGGTGAATTGGAAGCCATTGACTATGGAGTTCATGGTGGGAAGGAAGAAGGTGAGGATCATAGGGGATCCTAGTCTGTCTAAAACCAAGGTTTCTCTTAAGATTATGGTAAGGGAAATCCAGGGAGCAGGGATGGTATTCTTGGTGGAGCTCCCGATCCTCGAGGGAGGGGGAAGCATGGAGAAAGACGAGGGTCCAGAAACAGTCCAGTCACTCCTGCAACAATTCAATGAGGTGTTTCAGCTGCCTCAAGGCATACCTCCCCCAAGAGACCATGAGATGCCATCATCCTGAAGGAGGGGGTATCCCCTATAAATATTCGACCCTATCGGTACCCACATGTTCAAAAAGATGAAATTGAGAGACTGATCAAAGAGATGTTAGAGGCTCAGATCATTCATCCCAGTGTTAGTCCCTTCTCTAGTTCTATGTGGCTAGTGAAGAACAAGGACGGTAGTTGAAGATTTTGTATAGATTATCGGGCTCTGAATAAGGAAACAGTGTTGAATAAGTTTCCTATATCAATCATTGATGATTTACTAGATGAGTTATATGGAGCGCTGAGGCTCTCCAAGATTGATCTAAAATCGGGATACCATCAGATCAGAAGGCGGCCTACTGACATCCACAAGACTGCTTTCAGGACTCACAAAGGCCACTATGAGTTCTTAGTGATGCCTTTCGGGCTTACCAACACCCCAGCTACCTTCTAGTCGATTATGAACAAGGTATTCCAGCCCTAAATTCGCAGGTTTGTACTGGTTTTCTTCGATGATATTTTGGTGCGTAGCCGATCTGAAGCAAAGCATGTGGATCCCTTGAGGGTCGTGTTAGTGATATTGAAGGAGTATCAGTTGTATGCTAATATAAAATAGTATTTCTTTGCATAGGCAGACCTTCAACTAATCCTGAACACAAACTGTGGCATCTTATTGATCAAAATCTGGCATTCGCATTGTTCTCAACCATTTCTCCCTCCGTTCTTCCATATGTGCTTCATCTTTCGACTGCACACGAAATATGGATCACTCTAGCAAACAGACTTCAGCCGACCAACAGGTCTCGAGTGATGCAACTCAAAAATGAGTTACACAACATTCAAATGCGAGATTCCACA